TCTGATGTCACTGACAAGGAAATGACTTTACAGAGCAATGATCATGTTTAGTCTTCTCACTTTGTAAACTGAATGTTTTTTATCTTTTGAAAATGCATGATTAAAGGTAACTCTCATTTAACTTATTGGCCATCATAAAACATCTTATTTTATAAATTTTTCTTGTATCCTCCTCTTTAGGTACATTTCAAACTTTCTTTTGACCTCAATAAAACCACATATGATCCAAATTATTTTTTATTTTTATTCATCCATTAACGATTTACTGATATGCATTAGGTGCTGTGCAATGCGCTGAGAGAGTGGGGCACAAAAAGACAAGGGAAAGAGTCTTTGCTTTAAGAATTTACAGCTTTGTGTGAAGTGAGCAGGTTGAATTTGTAAGCGGAAGTTCTGCTATGAGCTATAGGAACACCAAGAAAAAAATTACCTTCATCAAAGTCATAAAAGAGGAATTTTGAACTATGCCTTAAATGATAAAAAGACGTTTCAGATAGGAAATCCTGAAATGACCTTAACACTATGACCTGCTTGACTAAGGACCTGAACTTGCTCAGTCCTATTGTCTGCAGATTAAATGTTTTATGTCATCATTCCTGTTCTTAAATTTCTGAACTTTCCAAAATGTTCTGAGAAAATTTAATGGTCAAAATATGGAAACAATACATTGACAGATCTACCTGCTCTAATCCAAGGAAAAGCACTGAATCAGTATGCTGTCACAGGAACTGAGCAGGCTCTCTATCCTCGTGGCTCTGACTTTTCCTTGGTCCCCAGACAGCTTCAGGACTGGACACTACTACTCACTGTGAATGGTGGAAGGGAGTAGGCTGAGGAGCCCGAGGAGCCCAAGCTACACTTATTTTGCCACCTGGCCAAATCATCAATTACCTTTTTTTGAATTTTATTATTTTACCCTAATTATGAAAAATACCAGTTGTAAGTTTTCATCTCTAGGTCTAAGACCTTTCGTTCACGGTGAGGTAACATTTTTGTTGTATACAACCAGAGTGCAGTATGTATACTTTGTTTTCACATCCCTCTGCTCAAGCCAATCTTCTGGTCCATATTCAAATGATTTTCTTATTTCTACATATGGATCTACTGTCCTGGTATACATGATCTCAAGGTTAGTAATGTAATCAAGCTTACTAGCAATGTCTAGACACTAGAAAATGGCTGGACTCTCTTCATAACATATGAACACTTTGCTTGGAGTTTTAATTTAATAATTAAGTTTATTCACTCTGGAATTTCCTAACAATTTTTTTCAAATTTCTCACTCTTTTATTTTTTTGATAGTGGTATCTTTTTTAAATTTTATTGTTACTATTTTCTGAACTTGTCTGCTCCCTAAAAAATTTCCTTTAACTTTATTCATATTCTGTGCTGTTTAGTTATCGGAAAGAATGTGACTGGGATACAAAATGACTGTTTTATTATCTCCTTAGTTCTAGAAAATCAAATTTTTAGTATTTGGACCTATGACACATGAAAAATGAAACACATATTAACATGTAGGTCCAGCTCCTAAAATCAGGGATCACATAATGTAAAAAAACAAAAATAACAAAGGAATAGAAATTGAGTTTCTGCCTAATAACTCACTTCAGTCTCATCAACTTATTATTTTCCTAGATGTTACCCTCATAAGGGAGGCATACAACTAGAACTCTGTGATCATATCTTTTTAAGGAAAGAAACCAATAATCATAATTAGATTGTACATTAATTAGTGAATGAATTCTCCCTTTGATGTGTTTTGTACTTTATCAGTTTTCCTTAATGAATCACTTCTCTCCTGAGGGTGCAGAAAAAAGGATGAAATCTCATTTGTGTTTGTTTATAATGCAATGAAGGTTATCTTAACATAATTTTTTCCTCTCTATTATTTCGAAAGTATCTGAGTTTACTTGGTGTGTCTTCTTTCTTCATGATTTCCCTCACTTTTTCCTCTTGTTAAATATAGGAATCCTTCTCTCCAATTAAACCCCCCACATGTATCCCTATAGATATGTCAAGTTTTAAAATAGATAATATTAAAATGGTACTATCTACTTAAACATACAAGGTTGTTTATTTTACTAAATAAATTTGAATTTATTCAAGAAACAAAAGGAACAGATTAGATGAAAGGACTCTTTGGTTATTTTTCTCTGATAAAAATCTCAAGATCGCTAATGAAATAATTTTGTGATTAAAGATTGCTCTCCAGAAGGCCAAACTTCTAACAATGGATAACAATCAAGATAGCCAATAAAGCAGAGAAAAAATATTTTATGAGCTTTTAGGCAGACACCTACATTGTGCTTAATTAATCTTCATAATAATTTTATACTGCAGTGTGTGGAATGGCTCTCCTAGGAGCCTGCAGATAGCCTCAGATCCCTTCTCTGCCTTTGTTCTGCCCCATGAGGGTGACCTCATGGACTCAATCTTTGTGTTCCCTTGCCCTCCAGCTCTGGTAGGGTATGGCCAATGAGGATTTTTAGTGACACTGCTTCTGTTTTGGCACTTTGGACCTGGGGATGGCTAATAGTCCTAGTGCTACAAGATCCAGGTTACCACACTAGACCTGTAGCTTCTCTATCATTACAATTGTGTATGATAAAAAGAAAGGGGTTAAGGTAGAATGAAGAAAATCAGAGATAAACTAGTTGGGATTATATATGGTAATACCACAGGGAAACTCCCTGTGTGGCTACCTTTATGTCAAACAAGCTAAAATGTCATGTTTTTCTTTTTATCTTTTTTCTTTCTTCTTCTACAAAATCAGAAGACAGGAAGGAAGAACAGTTCCTGCCCAGAGGAGAGGGCTGGCACCAGTGGGAGGGAGAAGGTAATGGGGTAAGGAAGTAGGAGGGTGAATATGGTGCAAAAAAATGAGTACACGTGTATATAAATGCAAAAATAACACCTGTTCAAACTGTTCCAGGAAAGGGGAGAACAGAGGAGGGGGAGTATTCAAGTATGACATGTATGATACATTTAAGAACCTTTGTAAATGTAAATGCCACAATGTATGCCCACCCAACATAACAATAAAGGAAAAAATGAAAAACAAAACAAAATTTTCTAAAACTTGAAAATGTTTGATGTGCCTACTGTAGAGGAGCGAATAAAGTAGTGGCAGTGGCCACTATGGGAAGGTGACTGGGAAATAGTGAAGAAGTCTGGTAGAGATGAACCAATGCGGGTTGTAATACACTTCTGCATGGAAGCAACGCTAGGAATCTCTCTGTATAGCTATCTTTATCTCAAGCTAGCAAAAATGCTATGTCTTTCTTATTATCTCCTATATTTTCTCTTCAACAAAATTGGAGAAGTGGGCAAAACAGGTTCTGCCTGAAAGCAAGGGGGTGGGAGGGAAAGGTAGGGGGTTGGGGGCAGCAGGGAGAAATGGCCCAAACAGTGTATATACATATGAATAAATGAATAAACAACAACAACAAAAAGACACATATGGTAACACAGAGAAGGCCATGTAAGATGGAGGCAAAGTCTGAAGTGATGCTGCTGTAAAAAATAGGAATGTCATAGTCTGCTAGAAACCACCAGGATCTAGGAAAAGGCAACAGAGTATTTCCTTTATTATCTGCAGAGTAAGCATGGCTCTGCCACCATGGTTTTGAAATTTAACTTCAATAGCTCTGAAAGAATATATTTCTGTTGTCTTAGAAAAAAAAAAAACTTCTAGAAGGGGACCAGGAACTACAGAAAAGGATAGTTTGAGAAGAATTAATTTAGAAGGTAACACACATGTAACAGGAAAGCAATGCGAGTCAACTCCCTGTATAGCTATCCCTATCTCAACTAGCAAAAATCCCTTGTTCCTTCCTATTATTGCTTATACTCTCTCTTCAACAAAATTAGAGTAAGGGCAAAAGAGTTTCTGCCTGGTAGCGAGGGGTTAGGGTGGGTAAGGGAGGGAGCGGGGCAGGGGGAACGGGGAAGAAATGACTCAAACATTGTATGCACATATGAACACATATGAATAAAAAAAAATTCTCATGGGCCATCTGTATGCTGCTGGAACTCTGACTGATATCTGTCAGTATATTACTATAATTTTACTGATGAAACTGACAGAAGTTATGCAACCTGGGAATTTTACCTTACTAATTTCTGTTGAGCTGGGATGATCAAAACCAAGGCTCTCTCGTGTCATCATCAAGAAAGAAACCCATATGCAATAAATATGTGTTATAAGAAAGTTATAGTTTTCATAATGTCCAAAGGAAAACTAAGCCACTCATCAAAGTTTCATTATGAATAACCTGTCACCAAGCTAATGGATCAAATGCTGAACCATGGTACTTACTATGCACATTTGATAGATTGAAACAATTTTGATGCTGTCAATTTGACATGGCTTATAAAGCAAACCAGACCATTTTCTCAGCTTCTCTTAAGAAACTACAAAAGTACAAAATGAATATACTCAACTCTTCCTTAAAGGAGAGCCAAGGTCATGGATAAGGTGGGAATAGGCAGTAGAAAGGGGCTGGAAATCAGGATTGGATGAAAACCAGACTGGTCTATTGCACCCATTACTTAGGAATAATGCTTTTATATTTCCATGCAGCTTTTATGATATAGCTGTGCCCACCTCTCAAAAAATCAAGACATCAATGTGGGCTTCACTGCCAGTCCATGTCATAGGAAATGTGTATCATTTTTTTTTTATGATAGAACCTTTCATTATTATATTCTTCATTCCTGGTTCTAAAATCTTTTATTATTAAAGTATTAAAAAGACGGGGACTGTTTTTCTTCAGTTCTCAGTTAACAACTGTTTTTCTTCAGGTCTTCCAAATTATCAACACTTAAACACCATTTTTTTTCTCACTAAGCTTATTGAAATAAAACATCACTAACTTAGTGATAAGCTTAATTACCTGTTTGTTATACTTGACAGCTAAAGCAACTAAATAATAATGCAGTTATTACATCATTTGTAGAGAAGACAGTAACATACAAATCTCAGCATTTACACTTACACAAAAAAGAATCGTGTGCAGACATGGTCTGTATTTGGGACGACCCATATCTCTCCATGTTTGTGCAGGTCAGGCGAAGTGATCACTGTAAGTAGAAGATAAAATTAAACTATTTTGTACCACAGGAATCCAAATCCAATCCAAGTTAATATACTCCTTTCTTTTGAAATCTAAAAGCAAAATTACATAAATAAACATACAAAAATATTTAACCTTATCAGTATCATTAAATGTAATTTAAAACAATGAAAGGTCATTGATTTGAATAATCTGTATAATAAAATTGAGGAAATCATTAGTGCCCCATGTAACAATCAAGTGTTGATAACTTAAACATAGTTGGTAGTTTACTGAAAATTCCATGAATAAAAACAATGACTTTTAAGCCAGTCAAATTTTAAAGCAGGAACAAAGTATTATGATCTTACAAATAAATCACCTATCAATTTCTGTCCTAAGTTCAGAATAAGAAACAATTTCCATGTAGGAACAGAAAGATGTTATAGGCTTATCTTCTCAGTGCTTGGTTCATTCTTCAAGATTTTTTTTTTGTATTACATATTCAACTACCAACTAAGAGGAAGGCAGCACATTAACACAAGCAATAAGCATTACATGATCAGAAAGATATAATTATCTTTCTGAAATATATGCCAGGAATAAAACATAGCACTGTCTGAATTCTTGCCAATTCTGCAATTTGGTTTTAACCTTTATGATCTCAATTGTACTCATTTTCCATTTGTGCCCTTAGAGATGGTCTTAAGGAATAATGCTTGTATTATTCCATCATGAAAAGTCTGTAAATATAATTCAACTCTTAAATATAGATAAGACAGAGAACTAATATCATAGCATTTACCTTCACATAAGGCTATGCACTTCAAGTTACGGCTTTGCAGGAATTGGGATTGTTGTCCTTTTTTCTGTGACTGAAACACAAAGCAATTAAAAAATTAAGAGTAAAAATGTGATAGTCATTCTAATGAAAAAATTGTTCACCATTAATTAATAATAGTCACTAAGATGGCTTCAGGGGAAAAACGCCCATCTAAGCCAGTATCAAAAACTTTGCACTCTAAATATCCAGATACTCTTGTTGTGCATCCAGATAATTTCTGTATGCAATTACTAGAATCATTATTAAATTACTTACAAGATAAGTGAACTAAAACAATACTGAAATGGGGTTCAACAGCCTCCTACTAACACACAATTAAGAGCTCAAATTCATTTTTTCTGGAAGCTTGGCAAGTTTATTTCAAGTAAGCAAAATGAAATTTGCACTATCTCTTCAAGCATTGACATCAATCATTCCAGATCATTTTACTATCTAAAACTAACCCACTTTTACAGCATCATTTACTAAGCGGCAAAAGTTTCAAAAACATTGCATGAAGAAAATCCGGTATGTTATGGTTTTGCTTTTAGATACTAGATAAGTTAAAGTCACATTATTCATCAGATGGATTTTTAATTTTCCTGGAAAATGTGTATAGTCTACACACAGCAGGGAATTCATGCTCACTCTTTACCATCTGGAATATTCTTTCTCCTAGACAGCCATGCAGCTCAAGCACTCACCACGTATAAGACTTTACTCAAATGCTGCCTTCTCAGAGTATCCTTTCCTGACTGGCCCACTCAACATTCACTCTAGTCCCCATTCCAGCCTACAGTATTAAGTATCCTTTTTCCCTGCTGTATTTTTCTTCATTATCTAGCACTGTATCTCACTAAGTATGTTTTAAATTTTATTGTATTCCTTCCACAGAATGTAGTATCCAAGAGGACTGGGATATTTGTCTGTATTTTGGTCACCACTGTACCCTAATGTCTAGGAGAGATTCTTGATTATTATAGTGGGAGATCAACAAATGTCTGTTAAATAATTATTGCACAGAGGCAATGTGGTTATTGCATTTTGGGGGTGAGTTTCATTCCTTTATGAATAATGACCACTTAAAATGATTGTTGCAGACTTAATAAGCCTGAGTATTTATTGAAGTGCTGCTGGATAATGAGGCCACAGTTCCCTAATCATATGCAGTCACTTGAGTCAGTACAACACCTGTGATGCATTGCTGTTTTTACTGCTTGAAGCTGGCTCGTCCTTGGCTGACACCTTCTGCTTCTTGTTCATCCCTGAAAACATCAGCAAAATAATAACTTAAGGAAAAACTGATTAATGCAACTCAAAATACAATTCATCTATGTCATAAAGTTCCACTGTGGACAAGGATCTAATCACATCAGGCCAATGGTTCCCTAAAGAATGGTGGCTGTGCCACCGTACCTGGGGTGGATGGCCAGTGAATTTACGAAGGTCCTGGGAGAGCTGGGAGGTAGGCATCTCTGTTTGTCTTTGCACTGAAAGCAGGGTCAGGAAATTCTTTTGCCCTAAATTTTATACTCGTTCACATGGTTTGGACCTCAGACAAAATTTTACAGTGATTCAGTTTGTACCTCCTCTCTCAATCCTTTCCATGAACCCATAATAAGAAGCAGAAAAATCACAGTATTTTTTTGACTTACTTAATGCCTTTTTTATTGTCAATGCTGAAGATGTATTTAAATTGTATTTTAACTTTTTATTTATTATTATAAGGGTCTGATTTTAATTTTTCTCCTTTAAACTATGCTATTCCATTTCCTATTTCTTTACTATAACAGAATTTTTCAGTCTACATGTTCTACTGTAATATGACTTGCCACGTTTTTTAAAATTATGAGATGATACTCAATTCCCAACTCTTGAAGTGCTTGTAACTGTTTTAACCAGAAATACACAATATCCATACACCCTGAGCACACAGCAGAACCAAGTGCTTGTGCTGGTATATGAGTGTGGAAGAAAATGCACCAAGCAGAGGTTGCAGGAACTGAACAAAATTTTTATTTGCTATTTTTATAATTCTATGTAATTTGCATCTCTTTATAATGAACATAATTAATTTATATTTAACAAAACTGAACTTGGAAATGAAATAGACAATTACCTGAGTAACCAAATGATATGCTTGACATTGGACTAAGATAGATTCCACTTCCATACATTGCACCATGGAGCTACAATAGGCAAGAGAGAGACACATCAGTCAGTGGTTTAAATGTCAATATTTTATCATAGAAAGAAACATTTTCATGTCAGTACATTAATTCTTAGAAAAATGATTGGGCACTTATCTTATAAAGTATTCTAGTCAGTTTTTATTTTAATGAATCTAAAATCCTAGAAACAAAACTGGCTAAAATACACAAGAAGATACTTTGATTAAGACTTGCATGTTAGTAAAAGAACAAAGTTTCTATGAATATTTCCAGTTTATTACACAATCTGTCATCCCACTCTTCTAAATTTTTCAAGTTATAAGTTTCATTATCGGGAACTCTTCACTGGTCTAAGGAAACTACTCAAAACTATTAAAATTCCTTCTTATCATCTCTGTGTCCTAGGGCCCTGTTAACCTAGCAGTCTGAACCGAATACTAATTTAATAAATGTGAAATTCTGGACATTCACACTTAATTGAATCACTTCAAATGCCATTGCATTGTGACATTAGCTCAGGTGATCTGTGTTAAGCCTCTCATTTCCTAATCCCTTTATGCTGTCAGATGAAAAATTCAGCTGTATGTGAGAAGTAGAATATGCAAGATGAAGGGAATAAATAAGACCAGGGCAACAACCACGAAATCCTAGTAATGCCAAGTGGTGTTCTGAGGCTGAGAGCAGGTGTCAAGTGGCTCTTTGGTATCATCTGCACTTTGCTTACTCCTACATTTTCTTCTCTTAAATGATTCACACTGCGGCACGGTACTCAAGAAATGAATTTTGGATTAATGAACAGAATATATGGTTTTACTATTTTCTTACTAGGAACTGATCTTTCCTTTCCATTGTAGATAGATCAATTTTGCCTCAGGTTATTTTGTTAAAATATGCATGTCGTTATTAGACATTCCACATAATGTTTTACAATATCCCTTTTGCAAGCAAAAACATACCAGGATTACTTAGTGAGCCTTAACACTGGAGAATAATGCTGACTTACTAATGGATTCAAACACTTTACCTGCAGACGTGTATTAGAGGCAACAACCAGACCATTCCTCAGGATGGAGTGCCAGTTTTCAATGTGTGAGCCACTTGAAAACAAAGGAGGGGAGGAAAAAAAGCAAAATCGATGAACTTTTACAGTGGTCCTAGAATATAATAAGTCATGATGTGTCTGAAAGTTATGAGTTTCCAAGTCAAGTATCATGCAGTTGACTATTCAAAGTTAATACTAACTACTGAAAGAGGTTTTCTTCCCCATTTATTTCTAAAAGCCTGGGTGGAACATACCCCATGAATACAAAGCCATACTCACTGAAATGCAAAGGTGCTTCCAAAGAGTTTTTTAGCAGCTCTAAAATTGGATTCTTTGGCTGGTGGACTGCTGAGGAGAAGGAATTGATGTGGAGTATGCATAAACTTCAGTTGCTGCCATTTAAAATAATGACAAATGAAAATGTCAATTTCAGTTTATCATTAGGCTGCTGACAACTTCAAATTTTACTGGTTTAAGAGATACACAATTTCAAGGAATAGTAATTTTACACTAATGCATTAACGGGCTAATTTATAAACTCTATATTTAAAAACTTCATAAATGATAAATCACATAGAATTACTGACATGAAGAATAATTCTTTAGGCAAATGGGAAAGTAATAGCAGACAGGCAATCCAAAGTGATTTATATTTAGATTTGGATATACTATGTAATCATGTTCAAGCACATCTGCTTTTCTTAATTATATTTAAGATTTTATTATAGAATTTCCTTAGTGTACAGTAGCTGGAGGTTGCGAAGCAGAAAACTTATTACTATTATGTTTTATTTGCTGACATTTATAAAAATGGAAATTACCTACATTTAAACATACTTTTCCCATTTGGTCATGGAAAGAAATGAAAGCAGAATCTTTTAGCTTAATTCTTGACAAAATTTTCCAAGTGTTTCCTTTCCCCTCAGGGATATACTTAGGTAGGAATATAATACACAGAATCTCACATTTGGAGATGTGTACATGGATACACTCTGAGGTGATGGTCAGAAGTGAATTCAGAGTCCGTTGGCTTTCTATATTTATTATTTTAAAAGCTTACGAGGCTGAGAAGTAAGGTCTCTGGGACAGTCTTCTCAAATATGGAATGGGGGCAATACTCTGATCAGTCCTTAGTTAATACTTTTCTATCACTTGTGGAATGACTCAATTATCTCCTATTGATGATTTTTTTATTTAGAAGTGCATGGCAGTTGCTTGAATTTGAATTTGATACCATGGAAGAATGTAGATGTAGTACACAAATGGAGATTTTCAAACTGAAAAATTAGAATTAACTGTGGTTTATATGCATCTGGAGAGGCTGCCTGAAAGCCACTGGGGTCAGTTCTCCCACGTCATCCCCACTCCTCCCATTTCTGGTGTAGATGTGAAACCCAACTTACCCTGTTAACTGGCAGTTTCACAATATGTGACCTATTACTTGAAATAACCCTGTAATTAAAATGGTCAGTCAGTCACAAATAGATTCCAATTGTATTTAAAGATTTTTCTTAGTTGACAAGTGATTGATATGTGCTTTGGCTATGCCATAAATTAAATTCAGTAATAATTTCTTTTAGCGACATAAATTTAGTTTGCATTTTCAAACAATTTAGAGAGCTCATGTAACAAAAAAGATATTTTAATCTGAGAAAACACACTGGGATATGGTTTCTTAAAACTTACCAAGATATAGTTTTTACTAAGCACAATTTCAAATATTTATCACTTAAAAAAAAAAAAAGAAAATTTCTACTCTATACAAACATTAGAAGTAGATTCATGTATCTGCTTGTTTCACTTCTCTCAAAATTGCCTAAAATTAAAAGTGAGTTTGTAAGGAAGATTCTTTTTGTTTAAATACTTCAGTATCCCTTTGAGCTCATATTAAAAAGTTAACGTGTGTAGACACTGAAGTTGAAAAAAATTAAATTCAGGTATCTGAAATAATGAATTTTGTTTCATACTTTCTGGTATATAAAATAATAATAAAGGAAAACAGCAAAATATTTATTTTCATTTTGAATATGGTAATGAGAAAATTTAAAAGGTTAAGAAGGAAACTTTTGTCAGAATTTAAATAATTTAATTACAAATAATAATTTAAAATAATTACAAATAATACTAAATAATTTAACAATTACAAAGAAGACAGGTTTCTAGAGCTAAATTTTGTCATGGCCATGTTAGACTAAATTACACATTTATTGTAGAATTTTGACTACATGAAACCTAAGTAATCAGAATCTTGAGGAAACTGGATTCTTTTTTCCTTTGCCACATTTTCTTTTTAACTTCCTGGTTGTACAAAGAGTAAGTTCTTATCTAGGCCAATCTCTCATAATTCTAACATTTGTATTGCTTATAATAATAATGGTAAATCTCCTATATCCTTTGAGTTTTCAGAGACGTGTACACTACACCTTTATAAGCTCTTATGGTCTCCATGAGAAACAAGATGGCAGATTATCTGAAGTAGGAGAAGGCAAATGATTTGATGCAGGCATCGTAGCAAGGTAAGTTCTCTACCTACCTTTCCTCTCTGTAGTCTAGCCCTTGAATATAGGTAGAACTAATGCTATATCCCTCACCAGTATATCTTCTGCCATGATCAAGAAAAGAGTTAAATCAAATTTACACTGTACTTATTAAGGAAGCAAAATACACAAAATAAATTTCAATAAAAAAGACTGAAGAAGTTTTATCACTAGTCCTCACTGAACTAGAAAATTAAATGAACCAAAATGCTTTCAATACAAAACCTAGTTAATCACATCTTTTAAGATTGTAGACAAACTGCCATCAGATGCACTGTGCTCCCTTGAAAGTGTGTATGACAGCACTTTCTTCTCCATGTGATGTACAAGTTTTAATTAAAGTGAGGGTCATTAAGGACTCTTGGATTGCAAAATCATCGGGTCTCATAGGCTTGTAAAACTATAGCTATGCAGGGCTTATTAAATAAGTGCATAAAATGCTGTTTTCATTACAAAAACTAAATTTTATACCATTGCAGTAAGGGATGAGCAAGGGGGTCCTGTTTATCCATCTGCTTCTTGATTTCCAGATATGGTGCCTGAAAAAAAAAGTTATTATATGCAGACTTTTCTTTAAAATTCATTTTTCCTCTTTTACAAAAGGAAAATCAGACTGAATGACATGCCTAATCTAGTTAAAACGGAAAATCTGTGCCTTGGCATGGGATAGCAGCAATTACCCTAGTCATGCCCCCCATTGTGGCACAAAAGGACTTGCCTATCACTGTGTTAAGAGACTTGGCTAAAGTTTAGCCTGGTTTGCACCTACACTACACTGTTTCATTAAAGGTGACCCCCCAAAAAAAAAAAACCTCCACTATGACTTTTCTCATCCCCAAAGCTTCCTTTGTTTCCTGTCTTCTCCCTTCATACACTTTAGTCCCTCATCTTTGTCGGTGAGCTTAGTTTCTGCTGCAGCCTCTCTTCCCAATTGCAGTACTCTGAAAACAATGTGTCTTGCTATCTTTGAAAACAGTCCTATAAAGTTGCACTTTTGAAAATGACCACTTTAGAATGTTAACTAGCATCCAAGCAAAACTTGTGAAAGCCACTAACTGGGACCCAGACTTACGTGCAGATTTTTCTGTAAGAAACTGGGCACAATTTACATAAGAACCCTTCTCTAAAATGAGAAACCTAGTGGGATTTACCCAAACAATTAACCATTTTGAAGAACAAACAATAACTTTAGCACTACCTACAAGACAGTACATTCTACAAAATGCAGCAGGTATTAATGTTATATTTCTGAATTGGAAAGGCTTTAATGCATATGTTGCTGAAAGAGGCAGCTTTACATTTCTACCTTGACAGTGAAGCCACTCAGGCAGCAAACAACTAAACAACTCCCCTGGCATCATGGACCACATCATTGTTGAGCCAGTTATAAAACTTTGGCTTCTAACTTCACAGAATGATGCTAAGTCATCTACATTGACTCCTATTTAAATAGCTTACACATAAGCCAGAATAAAAGAAGCAATTTTTGGCAGGGGGCTGATTCAAGTGTCGGAGATTATAGATATTTTTATATTCAAGAACGATCTGACTCTAGGGTATAGTAGATATTCCCTATGCCAAAATCTTTTGAGTAAAAATGTTCAACTTTGTGAAAGATACTGCAATAGCTCCTTTTGTCTTATCTCCTGTGGAAATACATTTTATTGTTTTCTTTCTTCATATAAATAATAAATACTTGTTGGAAAAAGAATTCAGACAGTACAGAAAATTGTGAGCATAGAAAATCAATTGAAGAGATGGTAGTTTTTCAGCCAATAATGTCATTTATGAGTTAAAAGGACAACTTTGTTGTCATTGCCTGACACATACTATCTGAATAAATAATGACCAAAAGACTCAAAGTTAGAAATGTAAAAATGTATTTTTGAGCACTGTCTTCAATGTAGAGAAGAACAGAGGTCATTGGAGGGGTGGGTGGGTAAGGAGTAGTGGTTTAGTGAGACCCCCCTAGTCTTTCCCCAGAGAATAAAAATAGCCCAGGGGAGTGTTCACCACTGCCCACAGGTCCCTAGTGTGGTGCAAGCCTTAAAACAACACATGCAACACATGTACATACATGTGTGCTACCAATGTTGAATTAGTAATTTCAATTTATATAATGCCTTCCCAAGTGCTGGGTTACAGACCAACATGTGTTACATGTTCATAACCACCCCGATCCTAATCAAACTTTTCCACACCAGCCTCCCTGATGAACAAAAATATAAACTCATACATCTTCCAGACTGGTTTTCGACTCTGTGTTATATCTAAACTATTTATGAAAAATTTGACCTTGATAGAATATTTCTGTGTTTAACAATAAAATAATGTTCCAAAATTACTAACATCAATAAAAGTTAACATTATAGGAAAATGATACTATATTTAACCATTGCTTTAAAATATCCCAACATACTCAGGCATTTGCATGAGCTGCAGAGTAGAGTATTAGGGTAATAATTATGCACTTATCCTCCAAAGATCACAGTGTTAGCACGCCAATACACAGGTTTAATTTAATTAAAACATCCTAACATGACACAATTCCTTAATGATTTTAATTATACCCCATATAATAGAAAATCTACATTTCACTATACAGCCACTCTCAGATATCCTTAAAATGTGATTTAACTCAAGCAAACTGAATTACATGAGACCACAAGGTAACATACTTACTTGTGTCATTCTCTGATAGAAGTTATGCTATCCAGTGCTTTCATTACTTGATCATAGTTCTTTTTCTGTGCAATGGAAAACATAACAGTATTCACTTACAAACCTCTGCAAGTTATATATCATGAGAAAAATGTGTTATTTCTGTATATGACTTTCCCATCAGAGCCAATGTGAAACAATGCCTGTTTAATGTACATAAAAGGGAAGCTATAAAAGATGACTCAAGGACATAAGATTTGTAGCTAGAGTCAGAGAGAAGTTAAAAGGAAACAATGCTGTATCATGCTTACGTAATAGAGGAAAAAATCTAGAAATACAAAAGATTTTGGATTCTTGATTCAGGCTTTCACCACTCAAATAATAAAAGTCAGTACAGAATCCCTCTTCTAGACAAAAATCCACTTCAAATGTCTCAGTTGCTTTTGTTTTCTTTTGACTGGCATATTGTAACCAAATGAGTATGCTCTCAGTGTGCAACTGACAGCATACACAGACTCAACCGACAATTTACTTCTAAGCACAATGTAAACATGGGCTCTGTTGCCAATAGGGAACAAAGGGAAGGTGTTTCAAGAAGGTATTATATAGTCGTTTCTATAAAATTACTTCAAGATGAACAATAGTACGTGCTAAGGCAATTTCAGCTCTCATTCAATGTGAAAATTCTGTTCTTTCAAAAGGATTCTGCTTAATCCCCACAAATATTTATCAAATGGTTTTCTTAAGACATGCAGTCCATTAGCAATATGAATTTAACTTTTTACTAACCTTTCAATAGCTAGAGAAGGACAAAGGGAAGAGGGAAGGAAGGCTGAAGTGAAAATAACAAACACACATGTGTGCACACACACAAAGGAAAACTTGTCCTTTTCCTTGTGACCCTTATGATTCAATTGAGATTTAAGTAAAAAATGAACTTAAAATAATCACAAATATGCTTTATGATTTAGACACTCAGAAAGAGGAAATTTAGAGAGATTAAAATTTCAGTTACTGATATTTCAAACTCTGTGCCTGATTAGCGTAACTACTTACCCTGGGATTGAAGGCCAGCATCTGGGGGTCATTAGGATCTACCACAGATGGATATGGCTCAAAAATGACAACTTTTCTAGGAGATTCCAATGCAGATCTACACATGGACACGAGGAGATCTACCACCTTGAACAACACAGGTGAGACAGCTGTCACCCTTCAGATTATATCACATGCTTTGCCATTATTTTTCCCTCTCATGGTAACAATGTCAATCAGGAAGCCCCAGGATTGCTAGCAAAACTGTAATTCATGACTTTATACCACATTTGGACAAACCTGACACTTGATGTAAAATAACAAATATGTGTTGCCTGTATCTTAAATTTTATCAAAAATTAATTGTTTAAAGGGGTTTCATTGTGATATTTACATTTATTCTTTCTCAATCACCTTCCCATGTCCCCTGTCCTTAACTGTTTTTGGTGGGTTTCCTTGTATTTTCTAGGCCAAATGGTATCAAAAGGAACAAAAAAGACAGATCTGTGCTTGGTGGCATGAACAGTAGGCCAAGGTCCCTCTTACCAACACTTTCAGGTATGAAAGACTTCAGAACTCTTGTAAATGAGAAAAATTCAGCCATGAATATTTAGGTGGTTGAAAGTCCAGGCAGATAAGAAAGGCAACAAACAATGTACACATATTTGAATATATGTAAAAACAATTAAAAAAACAATAAAAAAAGAAAGGCAACTACAGAAATAGCCTATAGAAACACAAAATAATCTGATAAAAAATAAAGATTTAGAATTTCAGGCAATGGTTGTGAACCACTGCAATAGTGACTCATTATTATTATCACTGTTTATAGGAGCTTCTTGGAACGTAGGCCACTGCTGTTTCTAGACCAGTGTCTATAGTGTCTTTGTGTCCCCCAGAGCTCTTCATAAAGCAGCAGTTCAGGGGTCAACTGACATAATGAGACTATTGAAGTAGAGGTTCTTTCTGTTTAAGGAAAGAACTGCTTCAGAATTGCTAAAAATATTGGGCCCCTGTTTGTAAAACAGAAGTAGTTAGAAGAATGCTCTTTTGGAGTACAGTAACTCAATTCTCTGATCTTTACAGTCAAATCGTTAAACTGATCTGATTAAGCACTAGATAATTTAAAATTCATTTCTATTTAAGAACAATTCTTTTCAAAAATGTATAATGTACAGAAGGGAAAAAAGCTACCCATTATTATATTTAACTGATAAACATATACATAAACATACACATACAGCAGATCTTAGATATTCAAACACACAAATACATACACTTAGCTCCCTAGGTAAAGTTTTAATTACTTTTACATAGCTATAAATATCTGTGTACATTATCTGGTTTTGAACATTACTTCAAAAGGATGAGAAAAACTTTCACATTAAGAAAGAGAAAGAAGAGTAGAGAAGAGAAGAGAAAAACATTGAGAAAGCTTTTAAGTACAGATTAGATATTTTCTTAGTTTTAGTGTTTCTTGGAGGCTTCCATATGTAAATTTGTACATGCTAGGGGCAAAACCAAACTGTATTGTTAGGATTTATTTAAATTATGAGATCTTCCACAATACTTAAGGTTACTGTCCTACTGTGGGTAGTTTTTATTTCCATTCATAATTCATTATAACAAAAAGATTATCCTTAGTGTTTCATCAGGTGGATGCTTTGTAGCTCAATCAGTGAAGTCACTAGGTTAAGTGGCATAAAATCACGAGGTTTAAGCTGTCTAGATAAATTAACTACTGTGCTGTCGGCTGGCACAAGGCCTACTGGCAGGTATTCCGTATTTGTTGAAAGAAAAAGTATTTGTTGCATGATCATTTTCCCTGCTCAGCTGGGAATTTTATTAAGGAAAGATTGGCGTTTCCTTTGACATGCAGCTTCCTGTTGATCATTACTGTAGCTAGATATTTTCTCATATTCAGTTCCTAACTGTACGTCCATTTCTGTGAATTTGCATTAATTTTCTTTGTTAATTTGATGTGGTCCTCATGGTTTTCTTTTAAATTTTTCTGAGTTTTCATATAATTATGTTTGTGATAAAAGGAACTTTTTAATACCTCATTGTTTTTATAATTTGTTTTTGTTGGTACTAGGACATGAAATCAGGACCCCAGGCTTGTTGGGCAGGCATTCTACCAGCCTCCTGCACTTCATTCTTAATGTTCACTATTTTTTCAAGTGAAAATGTAACATATGTAAAGAATGGCAATCACCTTACGACTTCCAGCACTGAGTACACGGGAGGCACTGCCTCAGGTTGGGTATATTTGATTTTACTCTTTTCCAGTTTTCCTTGAGCTATATGCAATATATTTTTGTACACAGTGTAAAGTGAAGAGCTGAACTAATTTCTTTCCCATATTGCACGTCTCACCTCACTTATTAACTAATTCTCGGGTAAGTGAGGTTGTGATTGCTCATTTAACATGTATTTATCTATATACTGACTGGTTTTAGGTATAGCCTGCCATTATTTGCCGTTCTTTTTTTGTCAGTAACTAAATTTTGTTAAAATGACATAGCACTGCATAATATGCTTTTGCATATGGTTGCATAAACTCTCTGAATTAACATTAAATAATTTAATGTTCAAAAAATGTTGTTTATTGCAACTTTAAGAAGGTTTTTATTGCTGTGCTGGGTGGGAGTATATTGTGGCATTTACAAATGTTCTTACAATATATTATACATGAATTCCCTCTCTCCATCATTCTCCTTTATCCCCCTACCCCCATTTTTTCTTATTCCCTACATAATTTAAAAAAATTGTAATTACAATGAAACTGTAGCATCTAACAAATCTGAGCATCTTTATATTTATTTTTGCCTTTCCAGAAACATGGTAGGCTTCTCTACTTCCAAATTGTTCCATTGCTTATTATTTTTTGTTTGGAGACAGGGTCTCAATATGCAGCCCAGGTTGGCCTGGACTTCTCAGTGTACCCCAGACTGGCCTCAAACTTGTGATTCTCCTGTCTCAGACTCCTGTGTGCTGGGATTATAGGAATGCACCAACACACTTGACTCCTTATTTGTTTTTATATTTTTCTTACTATTTCATAAACACTGCTAGTGTAATCTACCCATTATCTTTGGACCTAAGTTTTTTCATTTTTATTAGTGTGTATGTATTGTGTGGGACATTCATTGTGAGAATTCTGAATAGGCTTACATTGTACATTGGTTAGATTGCCCCCATCATCAGAAGTTTTAAAAGTTAATTGACTTCATTTCATGGCAGGAGGACTTTACAAATAAATTTTATGTAAGGCATTTACAAGGGTTTCTATATGTCAACTTCACCATTCAAGATTTACAGTTATATTTAATCAAAAAGAAAGCCCCATTTAATCTCTTCTCCAGGCAACTTCTAAATGACAAAACATACATTAGATGAAGAGACAAAATTTAGTTTATAGTTTTAAAAATATCAAAATGGCAGTTTTTCTTTAACAAGAAATCATCAAAAAAATTCTCCAAAGAATAGCAAAATGAAAACAGCCAGTGGACTGGAACAAACTTTGAAAACCCCATTAAGAACTCAATAGATCAGTACCTGAGCTCCAGTTGCTATTTCATCGGCAGCTTCATTCATTACTCCCAGAGTTTGAAATGCAAATACACACAACTCTCGCTCACACACTGTGGGCTACAAAACAGGGGAATCAATTACAGCATGTTTCCATCTCTGAATTGCCAAATTAAATTTCTGACTGTCTATACAATAAATAGAAAGTGCTAAGTTTTTAAAAAGAAGTCCTGTCACTTTACTTAACAAACAGTAATCCTTAAATGCAAGTACACCATCACTCACTAATATAGTCACAATTACAATAAGAACTGACCCATTTCATTTTGTTTTAGACATTTTCAATCGAAGCAATTAGAAATGGGAAAAATCCATCTCTCTTGTTTAATATCCACTTGCACATTAAATATATTTTCTTCAGTCCTGGGGATAAAGCCAGGTCTTGCACATCCTAGGTAAATGTTCCACCACTGAGCTACATTCTCAGTCCTTTAAATGTCTTAAAGACAAAAAAAGTTCTATACAAATGCTCTATATAACAAATATACAATGGAGAATTCCACTTTTTCCTAGAAATTTGGAAGAAATATGTATGACTCTGCTTACTTACTACATGGTTTATGAAAGATGGTTTTGTTGCAAAGACTTTTGACTTGAATAACCTCATGAAGTCAACAGCACTGAAATATACACTATGCAATTACTTTGGAAGAGCTTTCATCTTTCAAATCTAATATGGTGTCAACCCTTGATTTATCTTATCTCCCCAGTTACATAGCATTAGGTAGCTGATGAAGCCTAACACGATGCAATCCACGGTTGCTCTGGCACAGCAGACAAAAGGCATTTGTAAGTGCCACTGCTCCTGTGCTTGCTGCCTTCAGAGGAGGACTTGGTCTATTGCTTAGCCAGTGGGGAAGTATAACTCCTTTCTGACACATCCTTTATGTTCAGAACAGGCCCATATGTTTGGCTTTACAAAGCCTGATTAATCACAAAATTTTCTGGTTGACTCTCCCCTGAAGAGAATTTTAAAGGAAAAAAAGGAATTGATATATTTCCTTGTTGGCCACAAAAGTACAGTCTGATTCCATTTCAAAAACTGTCAGAATTGTGGGAGGAAAGTAACTGGAGAAAGTTCTCCATCCAGATTCAAGCTATGCCCACTGCTAAATGTCTTTGAACATGCCCAAAGCAGAATATTGTTCAATTTCTACCACTTTTTCTTCACTTGAATGCCTACCTTATTGATAAATCTTTTATGTGTGTGTGTGCACCTCTGTACACATGTTGTTTCCTCTTTTCATCTTTCTGAAGCAAATTGTATGGTATTATGTGAAGTAACAGCAGCGGCCAGCCACTGCTGCCTACTTACTGTAATGTCAGATGCTACATTGGTGTCTAAATATATGAAGCTGCACATGAACAGGAGCACACAAAGAAAACACTAGAAATCACAAAGGACTCCAAGAACTTACTCATTGCTACACGAGACTTGATAGTTAATTTTGAAAATTTTACAGAGAAATTCCAAAGACTTAGGAATAATTATGATAAAGTACATCTCCTTCCAGAAAAGACAGCGACCTTCACCGACACAGAAATAAAACTAACAGAATGATATTGCTACCACTTACTATAGTAATGAATTGTCAGCAATTAAACAAAAAAATGCAAACTCTCAGAAATGTATGTAGGGAATTCAAGTTCAGAAGTCAAGAGGCTGTTCTAGTACCATTCTGCCAGAGACAAAATCCTGTCTCTATTACATACTGGCAGAGGGCCACTAAATAAAAATTCTGTTTTCCTCATAGGTAACATGAGGATGATAATAATAATACCTACTTACTAGAGTTATGAGGACTCCACTTGACAATCCAAGTAAAGAATGTAATCTCATAAAAAGCACTTAAAAAGCATCATTATTGATAACACTACTGTTATTTTCTGCAGTGAAAATGGCATGGCCAGGGTTGAGCACTGGCAAATAAAAATGTACCTCCTAAGTAGGCGAGGTTGAGACTCATGATAACTACACTTCTCCAAGCACAAAATTAAAATAACACAATCATACAATTGAGGGGAGGATGTGGCTCAAGTGGTGGAGTGCCTGCCTGACAAACCCAAGGTCCTGAGTTTAAACTCCAATACTTGCAAAATCATACAACTGTTTAATAAATCCATACAAATTGAGTTAACTTGGATTTCAGAATAATGTATCTCTTCATTATGTTATGCAAAGAGAACTCGACTCAGGACAAACACTGCATGTTCTCTTATATGCAAAATCTCCACCTTAGAAAAAAGGGACAAGAATGTGAAAGGACTGCTTGGGGAAGGAGGGCAAAGAGAGTGATGGTGGTAAGGAGTGAATGTGACTGAAATCAGTTATATGCAGGAATGAAAATACAATTAGAGCCGTTAAAAATTGTTTCTTAAAAAGGCAAAAAAGTTTTGATATTCCATTGAGAAGAATGTATTTCTGAGAGAAAACTTGAGTGGCAAAAAAAATAGCATGTACTACAAAAATAAACTTTTTTATATATGTTTCCCTGAAATACAATGAAACAAATAAATGATACAATTCATACAGATTATAATGTTCACAAAAAGACTATTATATTTGTTTCTTTAAAAGTCTTAAAATAGAGGCAAAAGTCAACTATTTTGGTATTCTGGAAACTAACTAAGAGCTTTCAGTAACCCGAGGAGAAATTACTGAGGACAAATGGTTACATCCTGGTAAGAAATGCAAAATTTGTGATAACAGCCCACCTTGCTGATTCTGAAAAAGCAAGATGGAACTCATTCACAAAGAGTTGTTATTACTGTATCTGTCTGATGGCTCTTTGAAGACAAGTTCAAAACAACTGTCTTTATTTCTGCCTGTCTCGGAACTCAATATGATACTAATCTAATATCCAGGGTGCATGCAGAAAACATTTACAATCAATGTTTTAGTCACTGCTGTCTAAGGCAATAGATAACAGTGAGACAAACAGCAGACTAACCAAAAGGCTTAGGAGGAAAAGCAAGGAATGAGGTGTCAGAAGGACTATGTGAACCTTACACATATTCGGAAGAATGTAGAAAGCCAAGTACTTGCCCATGTACATACATGCATGCTCGAGAAACACCTGAGCCAGGCATAATAGCACATGCCTGTAATTGCAACACACAGAAGGATGAGACCCTGTCCCCAAAAAACAAAGACAATACACACACACACACACACACACACACACACACACACACACACCTTGGCAACAACTGGGAAGAATTTGTTACAATAATTAGTTGACCAGAAAATGAAAAAAACCTAAATGGTCAGTCAAGATAATGAACAGAGACTGTACAGTGAGCCAAATAGAAATTCTGGAGTTAAAAAGTACAATAACTGAAGTCAAAAATTCACCAACAGAGGATTTTAAGAGCAGAATTAAGAAGGCAGAGAAAGACCACAAACATGAATTATGCCATTGAATTAAAATATTAATTGTAATTCACAGAGGAATCACTATGAAAAAAGTTACAACATGTACTGGAAAATACCTATTTAACACACAAAAGAGGGAGTAATGAAAAAGAAAAAAAATAGGTAAAATGACAGAAGTCTTTCTTACTAGTAATTGCATTTAAATACAGAGATTAGTGAGATAGATAAAGAACTGGATCCACTTTAGTTTCAAAGACATAAATAGGTTATAAATAAAAACATGGCAAAAGTCATTTCATGCAAATCATAACCAACAGAAAGCTTCAGAGGGGTCAGGTGTGGTGGTTTCATGCCCATAATCCCAGCTCTTTGCAGGCCGAAGCAGAAAGTTCACCAGTTCATGGCCAGCCTAGGTTACATAACAAGATCCTGTCCCAAAAGAAAAGAACAAAACAAAACGATAGGAAAAAAGTAGAAAATGAAGGAAGAGGAGGAAAGGAGGGAGTGAGGTATAGAGGAAAGGAAGGAAGAAGGGAGTAAGGAGGGAGGGAGAGAAGAAGGCAGGGAGGGAGGGAAGGGAAAGGAAGGGAAGAAAGCTGTAAAAGTTACATTAGTATCAGACAAAAAAGACTTGAAGACAACTGCTAAAACAAGGGACATTAAAAAAAAGGGTCAAAATATCATGAACATATAACATTTATAAACATATGCTCCCAACAACAGCTTTCCCCCAAAACACATGAAGGAAATACTGAAAAAACTCAAGAAATGAGACAGCTGAGCAATAACAGTTTGAGAATAAGACACTATTATAATTTGGATTTGAAGGCCCTAGAAAGGTGCTATGAACAGGTATTGGAACCTTTAACAAGTAGTGCCCAGTGGGAAGTTCTTAGGGTCACTGAGAGTGTGTCCAGGAATTCCCAGGCACTTTGCCTCTTTTTGCTTCTTGGAAATAAGATGAGCATTTTTGCCACATGTTCTTACCATGAAGTTGTCCTCAATACAGGCCTGAAGTAATGAGACCAAAATGTAACACAAAAATTCATACAGGGAAAAAGTAAAACTGTCTATATTTACAGATGGTTTTTTTTTTTTTTTTTCGGAGGACTGGGGTCTGAACTCAGGGCTTCACACTTGCAAAACAGGCACTATACCTCTTGAGCCACACCTCCAGCCAATTTTGCTCTGGTTATTTTGGAAATGGGATCTTGAAAATATTTGCCTTGGCTGGCCTTGAACCAGGACTCTCCCAATCAGCTAGGATTACAGAGTGAGCCCCCAGCTCCTGGCTAAATGATGTGATATTATGTGGAGAAACATTAAAGAATCCAAAAAGAACTTATTAGAGCAGAAAATAAATTCATTACAGAATACAAGGTAATATGCAAAAATTATTTGTATTGCTACACATTATCAAAGAACAACCAAAAAAAGAAATATAACAGTTATGCTATGTACATAACATTAAAAGTTACAATAATTAAAAAGAAATTTATCTTACAACATAAGAATCCCTCCAAAGTCTTACCACCTGATATGGGAGTTAGAATTTTGGGGTAAACAGAAAAATTCAGTGTGTAGCTGAAGGCAATACTTCTCAAGGTAATCCTACACAAATGTGAACTGACAAGACCACAGAATTGATAAGGAAAAGTAAGGAGCCCCAAATAGTCAAAGCTATCTTGTAAAAGGAGAAGAAAGCAACATTAATCAAAACAGTATAGTACTAGCACAACACCAGACATGTAGATCAGAGGAACAGACTGGACAATCTAGAGATATACCAATATACCTACGATCAAATGATTTTCAATAAGATTACCATGGTCATTCAATTAAGAAAGAGTAGTCTTTTCAACAATGATACTGGGAACACCTTACACGCAAAAGTATGACTTTGGAAACAACATCATATCACATATAAAAATTAACCAAAAAGGACCAGTAGCTGGGCACTGGTGGCAAAAGCCTGTAATCCTAGTTACTCAGGAGGCAGAGATCAGGAGAATCACAGTTTGAAGCCAGCCCAGGCAGCACAAAAAAGGTGCCGGTGGAGTGGCTCGAGGTGTAGGTCCTGAGTTCAAGCTCCAGTACCTCCCCCAAAAAAGACGAGTAGCTTAAATGTAAGCATAAGCTATAAAGCTGTTTCAAGGAAAGCTGTTTCTTGCGACTGAATTTGGTAATGGTTCCTTAGACAAAATGTCAAAACACAACTAACCAAAGAAATAAATGAAAAGAACTAAAGAAAATGAAAGGACAGCCCACAATAGTAATAATCTGTCAAAAAGGATCTCATATTCAGAATATATAAGAACTTTACCAACTCAACAATAAAAAAAAATAAGCCAGTTTAAAAATGGAATTTCATAGATATTTCTCCAAAGATATGTAAGTAGTAAGAAAGCACTTGAAAAATGACTAATAAAAAATCATTAGTAATTAAAGGAAGTGCATATCACAATGAGATACTGCTTCATACACACTAGATAGTTATAATTCTTTAAAAAAAAGAGATGTGTAGATGTGCAGAGAGCAAAACTGATGGATTTCCAGTGGGATGTAAATGGCACAGCCATTATCAAAACAGTTTGGCCATTCTTCAGCATTATATGACTCCATTTTTATTAAATGTCCAGAACAGACAAATGCATAGAGACAAGAAATAGATTAGTGGCTATCAGGGGATGAAGGCAGGGCATGGGGCCTATACCCTCCTTCTTGTAGTAACTATCTTAAATTTTAGATTTTTGAATAAGCTCAGTTGAAGCAACCTTGACACTTAAACTTCTAAAGAGTATTTCTTAAAATTCCATAATTTATGATGGTTAATGTCAACATTGATAGAAGTGGATACAATGATAGTGACACATAGGAAATATAGTAAGAAACATTTTGTGAATACCGAATTACTTGCCTTTTCACAGACTTCTCAGAAGTAGTATGATTTCATTTTTGCCTAAATTATGCCACTTAGTATTCTAAACAATTTGCCAAATAGAGTACTTACTTAACTCTGCCAATAGGAACTTACCCTAAGCATGGGGCCATTTTGAAACACATGTGGTTCATCACAAACCACACAGTATTCATTCAATACAGGGATCCGCTGTTCAGCAAACTCAATCGTCTGAATAAAACGACACAGAGAAATAATCCAGTGACGTTCATGAGTGATTTGAAAAGTCCAGTAGGACTAAAATATTTCTGCAATGGATAGCATCCTGAGTCATACCTGCACTAAGAAGCCGCGGTCTCGTATTGGAATGCATTTTGCACCATTTGGCTATAAAAAGCAAAGTAAGAAGACAGTAATTTTTATTGGGAAAACGTAGAAATTAAAGCCTTTGACTTCTTCAAAAGTGATTACAAAAGTGATCATGCAAAGAGCACATGAAATGCTGTCTTTCTGATGTCAAGATTTCAGAATTTCTTTACTAACTCTACTGTTAGTACTGTATCATACTGTTTCTGCCTTTACTATTACAATCTTTCCCTAAATTAAATAATGGTATTCTTAATCTCTGATCTTCTACTAAAAATGACCAGCATCTTTACGTGATCACAAAATTCATTTCCTCTGATACTAATCAGAAAATGCTCATATTACAATCTCATTTTATGAGATACTATTACTCAAAGAAATACTAAAAAAGCGAAGCACAAAACATTATACTGTGCTTAACCATCATGAAGGACATCTAGACATTTTCTTTCCAGAACAATTGATCTTTCTTTGGTGAAATTATGGTAGGAAACATTTCACTCCATCATTTTTTTGACATTATTTTGCCTACATCCTTAAAGTTTTCCTTTGAATAGAAATGGACTTTTAAGATGTCCATATAAAATTATCAATATGCTCAAATCTTCATGAAAATTTATAGTATAATTTACCATTTCATCTTAGAAACAAATCTATATGAGAATAGATTTCTGAAAGCAGTACCTTATGTTTATCAACTTCATCTATGGCTGGGTGTATCCATATTAGTAGCTACAGCTAAATAAGTACTCTCAATATACATGCACACATTTTGAAAATTTTTCATCCAATTATTTTGATTATGGAAATAACACGTATAAGTTAGGTCTGTTTTTATCTGTAATTTGCTGCAATGGCAATCACTCTAGAGGTAAATTTATTGGTAAGATTATTTCCCAATAAATGCCAAAGATAGCTACAGTCATCACCTGGCCCCACATCCCCAAAAAACAGCTTCAGCATAAAGTGAACAGTAAGAACAACTTTGAGTGAGGCTCCAAGATACAGGTGTCAATACTGCTTGTATTCACCAGTAACAACACACATGGCCAAAGTTCTCATACATAAATCATAATTATAATGTAGAGGTGGCCTTTCACTACTCATGTGAAAAAAGAGATGAGGTTAACCTACTTTATAAAACACTAAAACTATATGCTTCCTTATAAGCATATACAACTGACTTCCATTTTTAATAGCATTCATTACTACAACAGGAATTTGGACTGGACCTTAAACCAATAACTACTCTTGCTCTTTTAGAATCAAAGTTACAAATGTCTGGTATGCAAAAGCAATATCCCAAAAGGAAAAAGTTCCTTCCTTCACATTATCTTATGGAGAGGAAAAAAGCTCCACTAGCTCTTAGCTAACGTTTAAGAACCCAAGATGAAAGTATTTACGCACAGCAGGCTGGGAAGATGAAGATGAAGATGGTGTTAAGATACCAATTAGCCCTGAGGTAAGAGAGAGCCTCCTGCCCTCTGCATTAGGTTCCTTGAAAAGCTCGGTTTTGGATGACTTGGGGGTACTGGAGTAGGACTTGCTGAGCAGTTTGTGGTTTTTCAGCCCGTATAACTCTTCCATTCTAAGATTACTGGAGTAGGATCTGCTTAACAGTTTGTGGGGCTTCACGTTGGTGTTGTGCTCGCACCTTGGGTCTCCAGAACAAGATCTAGTCAATAGTTTATGTGACTTTAGAGTGAGGCAGTCCTCCTGCTTAACAGCCACAGGGCAGGGACGGTTCAAGAGTTTATGCAACTTAATAGTTGTCATCGCCTGCTCGGCCCTGGGGTCGCTGGACAGGGAGCGACCAAAGGCCCTGTGTGACTTGGTGCACACATCCTCAGCCTTTACCGTGCTGGAGCAAGTCCTCCGGAGCAGCTTGTGTGTTTTGGAGATGCCGTCTTGCTCAGGTTTCAGTTTGGATTTGTTTTTGCCACAACCAGGGGGAGGATAACTTGGCGACCTGGGAGAGGAACAAGAATGCAGCAGGGCAAATCATGAGTCTAACACTCAACAGCATCTGTTACTGCCCCATTTAAATTCTGCCTCAGTTATGACTAAACCCAAAGTAGGTAAAGAATGATCACAGGGGCCAAATCACATTTTTCCTGGAAAGCAAAAGAAGATTGTAAGATTTTTTTTTTCTCCCTCCTCCTATGCCAGAAATGCTACATTGTTCAATATGTTACTTGGTCTTTTCTTTAAAGTCACAAAGAGAAAAAGCAGATGTCAGGACAACTGAGTAAGTATGTTTTATCACATGTAATGATGATGTCACCGGTTACCAACCTGCGCAAGGTAGAAAATAAATGCAGGGGAGACTTCACCTTCTTCTCTGACAACTTCTTGTTGTGCAGGCAATTGGACTTTTCTTTGCTCTGTTTCCACTGCTGTGTAACAAATGTCTGCATGATTCTGTCAACCCAAAGGCAATTCTGTTATCACAGTTCCAAGGTAATTTAAAGTAATATTGCTATATTTATATTGCAAATATGTTTATCTGAGGAAAATAAAGATGCTAAATTAAAATCATACAAGGTTTTTCACATGTAGGAACACAGCATATAGCAACTACCAGGACTTTATTGTGACTAGTTATATCAAAATAAATAATAAAATTATTACTTATTAAATCATAATATTGCTATAATTTAATTATACAAATGACATAAGGATTTGTAGGAGAATCATACATATAAAGAGAATTAACAGGGTGGTCAGTAATTATGAATTATTTTAAGTAAAGCCAATTTCTTTATAAATTAATTTTTACTTCTATATTTTTCTTCATGAAAAGGAAAACAAAACTAAAAATATGTGCTCAGCAAATATTGTCTTCAGCACAGCTCATTCACCTGTAAATAACACTGGGGTATTCCTAAATTTCTTAAAATTATTATCTCAAGGAAGGAATTTAATAATTCCTAATCTCAGAATTTTCTATGAGATCAATTCATCAGTACCTCATGATAAAATTCTGGAATATCAGCTGTGGACAAACAGCATTGTTTTCTGAAAAGAGTGTCTTTATCTCACCTTTCAATTGTCAAGAGGAGTGTCCCCTCAATGCTGATATTTAAGTAGATATGAATTTTTACAATATATATTGTATATAACTGTGCAATAAATTCAACACCTTTATTTCTTTTAAAAATCACTTCAGTGTTCTGGAAAAGGAACATGGTACCCCTGTTTGTTCTTCAGTTACAGCATGCCAGGTTGTAAACCAAGAACTTTATAAATACATTTTTTCTGGTATTCACATACATTCCATACGTTATTATTCCATATATTCACAAATAAGGTGAAGAAGTGAAAATCTGTGCAAGTTAGTCTGAATAACAGTGACAGTTCTAATCAGCACATTAATGAACAAGGGTCAACACAGGTATAAACATATGCAATTCCATAAGAACAGGTGGGACTCTTAGCATGAGACCAATTATTAAATTCAAGATCTATCGGGTCTTAATAAACTAACTCAGCTTAATAAATTAACTCAGGAAGGATACCACCTGGGCTTCTTCTGGTAATCTTTCTCCTGCCAGCTTGGATGGATTAAGAAGAAGAGCTATAGATGGACTTATTATGAGTTCTCTGTCAAAGGGGTGAGAACAGAGGATACACTGCAACAAATGTGCCATGAACCCAAGTTGGCAGTAAATTTGCTTTGGAGCTCTGGACAAAGGAAACTTTGAAAATTTTTATTTGTTTCTCTACTCAAGATTCTAGCAGGATTGAAATGTCCACTGGTACATCTTCTAAACGAGCAAATTTGGAATGTTTACTTCTATGAGTTAAAAAAATTTCTATTCCAATAACCACTGCTAACTTCCCTTACTTTTATGTTGCATCAGTATTCTAACATGTAACCACCACCTGAAATCAGCAATCCTTAAATGTGCACACTCAGTTTCCTAGATGTTCTTGGATGCAAGAGGAATTACCATCAGGGCTAATCTGAAGTTTATGTATGACCACATTTGATATAACAACCACCTTCTCCCAATAGGCAGCCCTGAAAGATTTAAATATTCACATTGAGTTTTCTTTCACTAGTCTGTAAGCATCAAGAAGAGGTATGACAGGATAATAAGAGAGCGATTTTAAGGTAAAGCTACACATCTGCCCAAGTGAAGGGCAGATAATCTACCACGCAACTATTTGAACAAAGGTGCCAGGGTCCTTTCAACAGGGAAAAGTAAACAGGAATGTGCAGCCTCGCAATTTTTCTCTTGCTCATCTCAAAAGAAACTATGCACAAGGAACACAGAGCATTCTACTCAACCTATACTGGCGAGCTTCAAACCATCAGCCATCAAGTTAAATTCTGGTACTATTTTGAGTTATGAGAATTTTATTTCGATTTTCACTTAACTTTTAAATTGAATTTAGTTTTTATGAATATAGAATGCTACATACTGAGACCAAACAAGAATTATAGTATTTTCCCTCCACAAACACAACTTAACTGTGATCAACACAGACCCTTTTAGGGTTTTTTACTGACTTCCAAACATACATCCTACATCACATACATGTGATGTACATAACGTACAAGTGATATGTAGGTAAATTAGGTAGATAAATTAGCAGATGTATCTGGAGTAAAACTCTGGTTCTATTGCTTTCTGGCTGTGTGACCTTAAACAAACTGCTTATCCCCTCTAGGCCTCAGTTCCACTGTCTAGGAAATTTGGCAATAACAGAACCTGTGCTTCAAGAGGGTAGTAATAGATAGAGCATTTCAAATAGTGGCTGACATATAATATCCCTTAGTCCTGCTGCCCCAAATACACCAGAATAAAATGAGGGTCTCTTAATTATTAAAAACAAATCTAAACAACAACAAATGTATCTGAGTTCCTTATGATGAATTACTGGGAAGATGAGAACAGATATTAGAAATTATATAATTTTACCCTAGATAAGACCAGAAGGATCTTAGCCAAACCAGTTATTTATAATAAAGGAAATTTAAATATCTATCAGAGTAAAATTTGCCAAGGATCAAAAAAAAAGGATCTAGGTAATATTAAAAAATTTCTACATAGATAGTATTTATGCATTAAAACAAATAACTTTTTAAAATATTGGCCAAATAGATGACAATATCAATAGATCATGTTACATTTTCTAAGCCATGAACACAGCACACAGCTGTCCTTAGTTTCTAAGGCTGGAATCATACCCACAAGTTATTTTTCTAAACACATATACTCAGAAGCGATAAAGCGTAAAAAGCTGTTTATTCTGGGACTTCTAGGTTTTATAATTCTCATCTTGGTTCGATCAACCTTAGCCCACTTTTTTACAGAAAATGTTCTAATGTGCTTATTATAAAAGCACATAAAGTAGAAAAGCAGAAAAGCAAAGAGAGAATTGGGTAAGGGGAAAAAAAAACACGGAAAAAAAAATGTACCAAGACAAGGTGGTACCCTAGCCAGATGGCACAACATAGAGAGGGAGGCCCCATGCTCTTCTCTAAGACATGAGATGGTGACTCAATGCAGGAAAGATAATTCAACTAAAAAAGAAAAACTAGTGGATACACTAGAAAAGCATCCCTAGTCTTAGGAGAGAGGATTGAGAACCAGTCTCCTATGAGTCCTTGTAAGAGAACACTCATGTACAGTGTGCTAACCATACCTTGCGATTTCAATTTAACATCAGTGATGCTCAATTCTAAGCACTAAAAACTGTCTTGGCTTGGGAGTGTGCCTCAAGTGATAGAGCTCCTGCCTAGAAAGAACAAAATCCTTAGTTACCCCCGGCAAAGAATAATTATCTAATTCTGCATTTGTACATATGTAACCTAAACACTGGGTGTTTACAAGAGTAGTGTTATACAATACAGTGATTACAGATAACTATGTAGTATGTATTTCAAAAATCTAGATGAAAGGATTTTAAATGTTATCACCATAAAGAAGTTAGAGATGTTTAGAAAGACAGATATGGTTAACAATGAATACATGTATTAATATATATATAATATATACATACACATAAAATATATTTTTATGTCTGTACTAGAACTCAGGGTTCTGAGCTTGCAAGACAGTTCCTCTACTTTCTTCCTGTTATTTTGGAGCTAGGTCTTGCTTTTTATCCACTCAGCCCTGGACCACAATCCTCCTATTTTAAGATCTCTGCCAACACTGACGTGACAGGGAGTGCCACCCACCCAGATTTTCCCGCTGAAAGGGAAAAATGTTTGAATCTTCCAAACATTCTGCCCAGGCTAGCCTGAACCTCTGTCCTCCCTATCTTAAGCTTCCAAGTAGCTAGGATCATAGGTGTGAGCCAATGGAGCCTGGCTAGTCTGTATAATGTTCATGTTTTTATGTAATTAAAAATAAATAAAAATAAGAGTTCCTGAAAATGTAAATTCTTTTCTTCATAAGCTAGACTTAACCATCCCGAGCATCATGCTGTACACAATATATTATCTACCAATTTCTTAAAAATCAAAAAAATTAGTGGTGGCACACAAGTATAATTCTAGCTACCTAGGAGGGAAGACAGGAGGGTTATGGTTTAAGGCTGCCTGGGAAAAGCTAGTGCAAGACAGAGGGCACGGTTCAAATGCAAGAGTACTTGTCTAGCAGGCACACGGCCCTGAGCTCTTTGCCAGTACCATAAAAACAATTAATTAATTAATTAATATTAATAAATTACCCTCACTTGAACTGAGGTAATCTCATATCCTCTTAAGGAAGGATGGAGGCTCCGGTGGACTCTTCCCTCAACATGGAAGTCTCCAAAGGGGATGTGTAAGCAGCATCATTATTTCCTTCAGTGAAAACCACAAATGCTCGGGGTCCACACCAAAATACTGGCCAGTGGGTCATATCAGTGTTCATTTGACTTTAGAAAAGTTGGAATTGAACTTTCAAGTCTGTATACCAGTATTCTTTTTTTTACTCAAAGACATAATTTGTTTCTGTTGTCCTTATATTTGACTATCAGTGTTTAGCAGTTAGCTTCTGTCTGATTTTATGACGCACTATACAAGAGCTTCAAAACCCATCACCATTTTTTTCTACTTCAAGACAATTAATAATGCCAGAATCCTAGTGAATACATATGTAGCAATGACAGGCTAATCTGTTTATTCAAATTAATTCATACAAACTGTATTTTTGGAGAACTAAATTCACTTCTAAAAGATAAACTGAGTCATTGTATTAGTCAAGGTCCAAAGAACAAATAGTTTCAAAGGTATAGGTACAGAAAACAGAAATCCTACAGTAGCCCAGGATCAGTGGCTGCCAAGCTTTACCACCTCCAGTCCCAAGAACAAGCAGTGGGAGCCCCTCATAAAACCTGGTCAGAGTCATGTGAAGGCTGCAGCTGGGAGCAGAACAGGAGGCAGCAGCCAGAGGGCGACTCAGCAAAGGGACCTCCTGGGAAGAAGCCAGGAAAATGAGCACCTCCTCTCCCCTACTCCCTCTGATGGTCACATTACAGATGGTCCCTGTGTCCATACAGGCCTGAGTTCTGGTCCTGGGCCCCGGGCAAAAAGGGAGCTCTGCTGACAAAATTACAGATGCAGCTCTTAGCATCAGCATGATTTCCTCTCCTGAGACACTTCAAAAAGATCTTAATGAATACAAATGGAGAAAAATATAAGCAAAATGAGAATTTGATTTTCCTAAATAGAAATTTACTTTTTTTTTTAACTCTTCAGAAAACTTACTTTTTTAGCTGATGTCCCAATCCAAATCGTTCTTTTGTAGAAATCTGAAAGACATCAACAGTGGGTACTGGAAAGAAAAAAAAAAAAATCAGAGTCAAAAGTACTAGTGTATATGTGAACACCCACATTTAAAATAGTGTGTATTTGTGTGTATGATGTACATTAGATTTTATATGAATGTAAGTATCTGTATATGTTGATGTATTATGCACAATAATGAAGAATATCCAAAATAATCAACAGTTTAAATATGCACAAATAGGACAGGCAGTGAACCATTTATTAAACAGAAGAGAGACATGCCTGTATATACACCAACATTTTTAGAAGTAAACAATGGAAGATGAGGATAAAGCATAAGAATCTCTATGTCCTTCCTTAAATCAGTACCTCTTTCTTAAAATTACTAAGTTCGCTATAAAAAAAAAGTTGTTCGTCAATTATTATTCATGCCCACTGTCAGTCACTATAGCTGTCAAGAACACAGAGAGAGAGAGAGAGAGAGATCCTACTCCATGAATACTGTTGTGTAGAGGGAGGAGACAAGACAAAAAACAAACACAAAAAACAGACATAGCTGTAGACAAATGCAAAGAGAGGAGTGGACAAGGTCCAACAGGAGACAAGTGCAAAGAAGGACCATGGATGGGGCTGCATAGGATCTCTTGTCCAAAAGGCCAAGGGAGAAATAAGAAAAATCAGTCAGGAACATCTTGCACTAATTAAGGCAAGAGACATAGTGGCTTGCATCAGTGCAGAGAGTGATTCATATGTTCTCCGAAAGCTAACATACTTCATTGTTAGACTGGATTTTAGGTGTGAGGAATAGGAGTCAAGGGCAAATTCAAGGTTTTTGAGCAAATAGAAAGATAAAATTTACCAAGTCCTGTGAAAACTGCAGTTGTAACAGGTTTTAAAAAGTGAAAAAGTTGGTTATTTGATTTCTACCCATGTAAAAAAGGCGTGGACAGTGGGATACAGGAGGACATGATTTAGGCATTCAAGTAAGAGGAACATACTAAAGATATAAATTTGATACACCTAGAGTACATGATACTTGAGGAAGCACTCAATGACTACAAATGGAGGAGAGAAGTCTGGGGGTTACGCTCTGAGCTCAGGAAAGCTCCAGCAAAGGAAACCTAGAGAGCAATGGCCAGGAGGATGGAAGACTCCATAGAGCTGTTACACTAAACACAAACTTCCGGCATATTTTCAAAGAAGAGGTAAGTCTTCTTTGTTGCTAAGTCAACTAAGGTGAGGACTCACAGGGTTACTTGCAATACTGAAGTCACTGGATAAACTGACATGAGCAGTGTTTGTGACATTATAGTACCATCACCCAATGTGAGTGGATTCAAGAGGAAAAAAAAAGAAAGGAAATGAAGTAAGCTAATGTGGAGGCTCTGCGGATGAAATTGAACCATCAAGGGAAACACAGAACCACATTAGCAAGTATCAACTGAAGTAGGACTACACAAATAAAAGGATGACATCAAACAGGAGATCAGATAGCACCAATCACAGTAAGAGTTGGGACAGCAGATAATCAGGGCAAAACTGTCTTGCTTAATATCACATTTTCAGATCACCCATGTTCCACATTGTAGACCAAAATGCTTCACTCCTTGTGTTGGCCATCATTCATTATGGAAGTTTGGTGTTAGTATCACTAGTCAGTTTCTTTCTTGAGAATCGCCTAATCCTTATATAAGAGTGAGGAACAGTGTAGACACCACTCCAATCTCACCTGTCTCAAACCTGGCATCTCTGAAATTCAAAAGTGAATAAAAATTCCTAATGTCTTAAAAATTCAGTGGATTTTTTTTTTCACAGAAAAATGAGAACACACTGCACTCTCTAAATTTAAGAAGACACAAATTTCACATGCAGGAAAAAAAAACTGACAGGGAAGAAAAGGCAGAGAAACTAAAGGAACTTGGCTTACTTTACAAAGGTAGCAAAATCCAAAATGCACTAGAAGAACTAAAAACCTTCCCCAGAAAAGGGAAGAAATATGTGCGATACATAGAAAGAAAAGATGACAGACAGATGTTTGTCCAGAATACATGAATTACTCCTAAAAATGAATAGTCAAGGCTCAAAAGCTCATCATAGCATGTATGACTAGAAAAACTGTTTATCAAAATGATACATTTTCTAAGAAAATATGTTATAAGCAATAAAATCTAAATGACCCAAATTCTTAAAATACACTGAAAAAGCTCATGAAAAACTTCTTTCAAAAATAAGCTCAAATGAAAAAATGCTTATCACTGCTAATATTTACTATACTAATATAAGGTATTAATAATTGGGGAAACATGAAGAGAGAACTACTCACAATTTTTCTTTAATTCTGTAAGCATTTTAGCCATCATCAGCAACACCACCAACAACAGGTGTTGGCGAGGATGCGGGGAAAAAGGAACCCTCTTACACTGTTGGTGGGAATGTAAACTAGTACAACCACTCTGGAAAAAAATTTGGAGGCTACTTAAAAAGCTGGACATCGATCTACCATTTGATCCAGCAATACCACTCTTGGGGATATACCCAAAAGACTGTTACTCCAGAGGCACCTGCACATCCATGTTTATTGCGGCACTATTCACAATAGCCAAGTTATGGAAACAGCCAAGATGCCCCAGCACTGACGAATGGATTAAGAAAATGTGATATCTATACACAATGGAATTTTATGCAGCCATGAAGAAGAATGAAATGTTATCATTCGCTGGTAAATGGATGGAATTGGAGAACATCATTCTGAGTGAGGTTAGCCTGGCCCAAAAGACCAAAAATCGTATGTTCTCCCTCATATGTGGACATTAGATCAAGGGCAAACACAACAAGGGGATTGGACTATGAGCACATGATAAAAGCGAGAGCACACAAGGGAGGGGTGAGGATAGGTAAGACACCTAAAAAACTAGCTAGCATTTGTTGCCCTTAACGCAGAGAAACTAAAGCAGATACCTTAAAGCAACTGAGGCCAATAGGAAAAGGGGAACAGGTACTAGAGAAAAGGTTAGATCAAAAAGAATTAACCTAGAAGGTAACACCCACGCACAGGAAATCAATGTGAGTCAGTACCCTGTATAGCTATCCTTATCTCAACCAGCAAAAACCCTTGTTCCTTCCTATTATTGCTTATACTCTCTCTACAACAAAATTAGAAATAAGGGCAAAATAGTTTCTGCTGGGTATTGGGGGGGAGAGGGAGGGGTCGGAGTGGGTGGTAAGGGAGGGGGTGGGGGCAGGGGGAGAAATGAACCAAGCCTTGTATGCACATATGAATAATAAAAGAAAAATGAAAAAAAATAATTCTTACAATGTTTTTAAAAATTAATAACTTCTAAAAGCTAATAATAATGAGTTAGAAAATAAATTGAACTATAAAATTCTGATTAGGCAAACAAGTACTCGGAAATACTCATCTAAAATTAGTGATCTTAACCAAAAACAAGTAAAAACTATATAGCAAGAACTGTATTAGTATATAAAATTCAAGACTACAAAAGTTAAGTATTACTATGTTGCAAATATATAGTCTTCCAAATTCATTTCAAGTGTACACCAACCACAACCAAACTCCTCAGAGTTCATTTTGAATGTCAAGGAAATGAAGAGGATGTGACAGAATGTATGAGGAATATGTTTTCATATTCTTTAAAAAAAAAAAAGGTAAGTTGCTGGCCAGGTGGCTCACATGGTATAATGCCTGCCTAGAAAGTATGAGACACTGCCTGTCAACCCCCAGTGCCACCAAAAAAAGTAAATAAATATATAAATAATGAAATTTCAACTTTTTTTCTCTCTCATATAATTTTGGTTAGAAAGTGAAGACTGCCCAAGACATGTGGAAAATCTTCTAACACTCTATGAATAAGCATAGAGGTACCAACAATGAGGTGATTTGAACAGAAAAACTTTTTAATCTTAGTTTCACATTCCCAATTAAAAACAGGCATGCCCTTTAGATTAGAACCTGAATTTAGGCATAACAAATTATGACTTTGTTTAAGGTATATTTTTCCATGTACAATTAAAAAAACCTATCTTTAATTTCAAAGTGGGTAAGTGGATACATTTCTTCAATTCTTATCATTCTGTTCACTCCAGATATATATCAGGTTAGCCTTAGCCAAAAAAAAAGTGTTATTCCAAAGCACAGGAAAAAATGCATTTGAAAAAGAACAGGTAAGTCAGTCAGTCTAAACTATGGACTAGACACATACTTTTACAAATTCATTTTACTATAAATACTGATACTTTCAAAGACACATCACAAAGCACCCATAAAGAAGTATTTTCTTACCTTTTCATTTGCTTGCAATAATCAAAATTACGAGTTAGGAAAAAAACTATTTCTTCTGGAACAATAAATTAGAGTTCTTTTTAGTAACTACTTCTAGTTCTATTTGTGTATTACACAATATTGCCCATTTTAAACCATGGGGTTTTTTTGCACATTCTCAGTGAGGTAAAAATAACCTTTAGAAGAATTTAACAGTAAGACAGCAATGAGTTAATATTATTGAACATGCCCCAATTTAACCAGTGTAATATACAATTATGACAACTTCATATAAGAAACTCCCAGCAAATTTTGCTTCAAACAGAGGAGACTGAGCCAATCAAGGGCCCTAAATGGATGCCCCCACCCTTTACCACTGACACATCTCAGAACATGGGGCAGATGACCTTCAGGCAGTGGGCTCAGAGTTTTGATGGGCACTGGTTGTGCAGGAAGCAAAGGCCACCAACTTTTTCAACCATGACCTCCCCATCTTAGGTCAAGTTCTCTCAGAGGCAGGCCCAAAGTGTAGAGGCGGTGACAAATAGTTTACTATGAACTGCTCTCAGGAGAAACTAATAAAGGGATGTGAGGAGTACAAGGGGAAAGCCCAGAAAGGGTACAAATTCAAGTAAAGTCCCAGCTTCACAGCTGTCCTCTGGGTAACACAGATGCATAAATCACACCTCAAAAAGTTTGTCTGGCCTTGAGACCAAGCAGGTATGTTGCTGGACTGCACAGGATAACCTGCTCTTCACAGGAAAGAAAGCTCTGTGTCTAAGGACTAGGTACTGAATGTGTACAGAGCTGACGGAAGGGAGTACAGGGAGGTAAAAGGTGTCTTAGAGGATCAGGGTGTGGCACCAAACAAGCTCCCGGTCACCATCCAGCTGTCAGATCCCACAACTGCGCACTCTAGAGTAAACGCAGGATTCTTTATCTTTCTTTTTCTTAATGGAAAAAAATAATACATAAAACACAGTAATTTCTGAAAGATGTGTACATCAACTCCTGCTTGGACAGATACATGTTATATTAGCAAAGCTAAGTTCACTAGTAATCACAGATGAGATAAATAAGAAAAAGAAATAAAATCTAGAGTCAATCCAAAATATATTTACTGAGCTTCCAATATATTCAACCACTCTTTTAGGTTTTAATGTGTTTCACAGAAACTTGTCAATTTCTGAAAAGCTATGCAACTGTTACATATTTCTGTTCCCCTAAGTTAAATTGCCAATAAATCATCTTTCTTAGGAGATAGCCTACTTAAATACCATCATCAAGATGTTTAATTCTTATGTTTAGAATTATCAAATTAACACTCATTTTGCTTAGTTATGGTGCATAGCTAATTAATATTCAAACAGTAAAAAATAAACTAACCTGGGCCATTTAAGTATTGGGTAAGGGAACAGTGTAGTCGGACAATTATTGGTTCTGTTCAAATTACTTCCCATGCCACAGCAATCTCCTCCTGCATAAATACGTTGAAAAGATGAGTTAGCCATCCTTCAGAACTCAAAATGGAAAAAAAGCCACTTAAAATGTAGGCTAAACAAGATGCCCACTACTGACGAATGTATTAAGAAAATGTGTTATTTATACACAATGGAATTTTATGCAGCCATGAAGAAGAATGAAATCTTATCATTTGCAAGTAAATGGATGGAACTGGAGAACATCATTCTGAGCGAGGTTAGCCTGGCCCAAAACACCAAAAATCGTATGTTCTCCCTCATATGCAGACATTAGATCAAGGGTAAACACAAGTGGACTGGACTTTGATCACATGATAAAGCGAGAACACACGAGGGATGTATGAGGATAGGTAAGACACCTAAAAAACTAGATAGCATTTGTTGCCCTCAATGCAGAGAAACTAATGCAGATTCTTTAAAGTTACAGAGGCCAATAGGAGAAGGGAACCAGGAACTAGAGAAAAGGTTAGTTCGAGAAGAATTAAGTTAAAAGGTAACACACATGTACAGGAAAGTAATGCGAGTCAACTCCCTGTATAGCTATCCTTATCTCAACTAGCAAAAGCCCTTGGTCCTTCCTATTATTGCTTATACTCTCTCTTCAACAAAATTAGAGATAAGGTCAAAATAGTTTCTGCCTGGTAGCAAGGAGGTAGGGAGAGAGAGGGACGGGTCGGGGTGGGTAAGGGAGGGGGTGGGCGAAGGGGGAGAAATGACCCAAACATTGTATGCACATATGAATAAAATAAAAAATATTTTAAAAAACACTTTCAGATCACAAAATAAATAAATAAATAAAAATAAAATAAAATGTAGGCTAAAGAAATGCCTAAGTTATGAAGGACTACAAATTACCTCAAAATCCATTGTTGTGTGAATAATAAAATACTAGACAAGTCTACATGAAGCACCCCAACAAAGTCACTATGTACTGACACCAAAAATTAGGTTTCATCCTAGAAAAAAATTACTTGAAATATACCAGCCATACTACAGAAATTGATACTTACATCAAGAAAACTGACGTCAATATGCAAATCAATGTCTACATCATCGATGGCTCCATATTCCCTGAAAGCAGAGATTCACATTATTTTTTTCATTCCCCTTTAAAGATTCAGTATGTGCTAGGTTATTATAATTAAAAAATTCAATCATATTGTGATCCCTGATTTCTATGTATGGATCAGAACTGACAGTAGACATAAATAACTCAATCTAGTTAGGACCATTATTTTCTGTGACCTATTTATAACAAAGAGAAATCTATCTATATTTTCACTCATGCATATGCATACACAAATTCAAGAGTTGTTTGGTTCCAAGCTTCAAATGTTCCCATCCCCTGTGGCAAATTAGTCAAACTTCCCCACGTGACTGTTCCATTTTCACTACACACTCTGAGTATGAAGAGCTGTGTCTGGTGGTAAGGAAAAGTTTTTGACATGAAGAGTGTCCATGAATTCTCCTTCCATGTTGGACATCGGTGATTTGCACACTGGTCCAGGTGTTCTGCCACTTGAGTATCACTGTGTTGTTTGGGTGGGTAGCTATGTTCCATGAGAAGGCATTATAAAAACAAGCTCAGGTGGTACATGAACCAGTATGGTTTTTAATACAATGAAAAAATACAAAAATAATAGCTTAAATATGTCTCCATTTTGATATTCTTATAGAATTCACACCATATATAAAAGGTAAAAAACTACAGAAAAAACTGAAATGCTAAGTTAACTAAGTAACTTGAATATGTATTTTAGTTATTTATGTAAACATTAAGATAGTTTTATATTCACGAAACTACCTCTTTGTATTGGAAACTGGGTCAAACATTAATCGATAATCTCATTAGGTTCTCATCACAACATGTCAAGCCGATAATGTTACTACATTCATTTTACAAAAAGGAAACGGAAGGTCAAGAAGTGAAAAAAAGCTGCCAAGTGGAATATAAAACTTGGTGAGAAAGTCATATATTGAATCCATCCATATCTAACTTCAAAACACTGTACAGGTCTGTCACAAAATTCTCAGTGAAAATTTATGTGCAACATATATGCAAATAGTACAGATATAATTCATAATTATGGCAGTTGATAGTGTTCAAAGCAGAAAATTTTAATGATAATTTGTGTAACTCAATTATGTAAATTAATGAATAAAGAAATCTAGAAGCTTTCTTTGTGTGTTGATGTCTGTGACAAAAAAGAGAATATGTTAGAATTTAATAACTTAGACTCTGGACTTTTTCTATTTTCTCTTAAAAATATATCAAAACATTGAGCACATTCATACTTTTTATGAAATTTACTTTCATTGCAATAGCTTAAATATTACATAAAATTAACAGTATTATTTACATGGGGACATCACATCATTACAACATCTGGACTCTTCATAAAATATAATCACAAAATTGATATGAAATTTAATATAGAAAGTATAAAAAGAATAAGGCCCAAGCAAATAAGATTCATTTCTTCTCTGTCATTCCTCTTTTTTATGTAACCCTTTTAAAAAGGAAAGTCCCATAGTAGCTCATGGGCTATTGAAAATTGACCTTATAGCTCAGTCGTTGTAATTTAATGACCTTGAACATAGGAAAATGATTCATAACTATAATAGCAATAAGAATATATTTTGTTATATAATATAATGTAATTAATAATATATAACGTATAAATATATATAAACATATATTATCATATATACATATGATAATACCTTGGGAAATACTCCACCAGGATATATATATTACTTAATTATTGTCTTAAAAGGTTCTTATTGTGATCACTTCCCACACCTCACTACCAATGGATATTTTTTTCTCTCATCTTTGCCAATTTCATCTGCAAGAATAACTTTTATCTGAATTAATTTACTTGGTAAGACTTGGCAAGAGGCAGAGAGAACGGAATCAGAGATAATAAATATCAGTAAAATCTTATCCATAATTGGCTACCTAATCAGAAAGCTATGATAAGAATGTGAATTTGCAGTACTCTTTGCATTATTTCATAATTTTTAGGTTAAAAGTTTCCTTTCAATTTATTTTTTAAAGGGATGAGGGAAAAAGAATTACAAGTGCTCTTCATTATAGCAAAGCATGAGTGCAGCATTTTAAGGACGTGGAAGATTTGCAATTTACTGTATTCTGTAGGTGTATATCTAGAAATAGTTAGCTTTTTCTGTTTTGTTTTACAAACAACAATGTGTATATGCAAGCCAACTTCAGTTGTAATGCCCTTTTTATATAATGCCAGTAATTTCACGCTTCCCACTGCGAGGGTACAAAGAGCAGTTAGTTTGTCCAGATGCAGCAACTCAGTCATCAGGATTGCTTCTATACCTGAATAATGTTCAGTAGCCCATGATCTCATAAACAGCAAATGCAGGATCAAGTTGAATGCTTGCTTGATGTAAGAATGAAACTTGAATTGTGGCTGTGTCCTGAATACATTGGGTTTATAATAACTCAAAATAATTTTTGCCCTGCCTTTCTTTATTTATTCACTGTAGAATGACTACATCAAATTGAATTTGAAATCTTTTTGAGATATGAGAAACAACACAGAAATGATCTGAAGCAACTGTTTCACTGTGAAGCAGAGGGTCCAGAAAGAAATGCTGTGTAAATGTCCCTTCTCCTCACCTAGGTGGGCTCCCAGTTCAGTTGAGCTTCCTACTCATTGAGGCAACATATCTTGAAATCTGGGCATTTGATTTTTTTGACCCAGATTATTTAAGAACATGCGTATGAAATGCTTTTGTTAATAAACATGTACTTCTGAGGACATCCTATAAAAATCCTTATAATGCATTTTCCTATTTTTAATAACTAATTAAGAAGCATCCAATTAGCGAATAATTTGCATACATACTCATACAGACAGTAAATATTAGACCATTCTTGTCATTCTTTCTTTCTCAGATTAGTCATTATACCATTATAACATGCCATAATGCAACTCATCAAAACTAGTTGTGACCAAGCTGGTTATAAAAATCTATTTTTAGTATCTCACCTTTTCTTATTAACTGTCAAATAAATCATACATTTCCCCTACACACACTCACACACACACTCACAATTCTACCATCAATTCTTAAGAAATAAACCTATTTAATTTTTCTGCTTTCAACCACTGGGCAGTTACATCTTGAGAAGATATTTTGCTGTGACATCTGACGCCTATTCACTGTGTTTTTGCCCGGTGTGGGCATGATGTTTGTGAATGGGCCAAAAAATATGCAAGCTTACTAGTCAGGAAGAAATCTTGACAAGACCAAAGCTTTTGCAAAACTGTAATCAACATAAGATATAAGTTTCTCTAAAAGACAACAGGGCTGAAAAGAATTTAAAAATTAGATGCAGATAAGAAAGAAATCTCATCTTTCTTTATAAAAAAATTTTTATAAGATAAAATACCATTTGTAATTTTAAAACAATATTCAGAGACTTTGCAGTCACCTTAAAAATCCTGAGTTTTGCTCAAAGAAGGCCCAGGCTTTGGGAGCAGAGTGAGTTTCTAGATCTGAGCTTCTGAAATTTACATCTAAATTGTTTTCCCAGGTCTTTGGAAGATATTTCTCCCTTTGGTTTAAGAAGTACAGAGGGGAACTCCATACTTCCTATCATCTCTTCCTGATTTTCCATGACAGACTCAACTCAGAGGCAGAGGGTGAAGAATCCATACACAGGAAAAGATACAAACGTCCAATCCAACAACTTTTGATGAAGAACATACTTCAATGTATAAGTTATACTGTGGTTAAAAAGACTAATATATCAGGATGAACCACTTTAACTTTATAGATATAGATATAAATAGATACAGATATATATCCTGAAAATCTTGGCTTACACTAGAAGGCATTGGGGGATCGGGCAGGTCATGGTCATCAGTGAGGATGACAAGAGTCTAGGAGACAAACTTCACTGGCAAAACTAGTCATAAGTCCAGGTTACGTATAAAAGGTCTCAGGAAAAGAAAGTCCAACCAAACAACCAGAATAAGATAATCAGTGAATTTATAAGCAGTTCAAACTGGCCACTTAAGTGGTCAATCCTGATTTCTGTAGGTTGGTTCTGTCTTGTCTTTTTCTTTATTCTTTTTTATATTTCTTCTTTCTTTCAGGAGATAAAGGTTTGGTGGCCAGAAGTATAGTGGCATGTGGTTTTTCCTCCACCCATCAAAAAAAAAAGAGAGTTGGAGGTATGGCTTAAGTGGCAGAGCACCTGTCTAGCAAGCACAAGACCCTGAGTTCAAATGCCAGTAAGTGGGTGGGGGCAAAGGCAGGGGGAAAAGGGAGATTCAGAATGCTTTTGCTCTCCAAAACATCAACTCAAAGAGGCCTGTTTCAAATGTCCATTTGCAAAATGCAATCGAAATGTGTCACAGTCACAATCTTTGGAGCTCCCAGTCTACATCAGGCATTAGTCACAATAATAAAAACAAAGGTTAGATTACTCATACAACTTCAATTTTTATAATGAAACAGGAAATGATCACAAAACAAAGGATATTTTGTATGAGATTGTAATTGTTTCTTTCCTAATCAAAAAACTTTGACCACTCTAAAAATATCAATCTATTGATAGAGCACCTATCTATTCAAGTGTGATGCCCTGAGTTCAATCCCTAGTACTGCCAAAAAGTGAGTACCATAAATATAATATTCAGGGGCTAGGAATGTAGTTTAGTGGCTAAGTGCCTGCCTAGATGCATGAGGCCTGGGGTTAGATCCTTAGCACAGTAAAATAATAATAATAAATACTATATTCAAATGACACTAACCAATGAATATTACTTTATAAATGTATAACTACAGAAGTACATTTACAATTAAAAACATATACTAAAGCATATGGTTAAATGATTTAAGATGAAACATTTAGAATGATCACAGGAATTCTATTTCACAGAGACAGAATTCACTTCCCACTGCATAGACTATGAATCAGAGGTTTATTTACATGTTGTTCCATGCAGCCACTATTTCAATATTAGATGGAATAGCCAGGTAGGACTGGCATTACCTATTTAAGTAACAAATTTACTATTAATTAGTTTTCCTATATCTTCTTTTAGCCTACTTTTAGAAAGGTTTTGCCTCAGTCTAGGCAATCAATCAGTAATTTCCACCTCTTACAAGGAACTTAGATGTGGTTAGTTGCCTTTCTCATTAGATATCGCATAAAAACTTTGACACCAAATAGCCTATTGTGCACATTGAGGTACTTTTTTGCTCTTCAAAGTCCATTAAGTTCTTATAAGACTCAATTAAGTAAAAGAACAGCTAATTAGAACAGTCTGTTTTCAATAGATTTAGAACTTTGCAAGAAGACGATTCCAAGACCTTATGCCTAACTACCTCTTTTCCATGTCTCAGGATTAGAGTAGGCAGGAAATTAATTTTTATTTGATTTTAAGCAAACCAAACAAGTTTTTCAGTAATTCACATTTAGACCATGATCATTTATTTATGTGGCTTACATTCATTAAGATTTACATTGGAGCAGGGTGCTGGAAGCTCACGCCTGTAATTCTAGCTACTTGGGAGATGAAGATTGAGAAGATCAAGGTTCCAGACCAGCCTGGGCAAATAATTCAACACCTTGTCTCCAAAAATAACCAGAGCAAAGTGGACTGGAGGTGTTCAAACCCAAGTTCCAGCCCAAAAAAAAAAGTGGATAAAAATCCAAATTACTTATTACTTTAGGTACTTCATTTATCTAGTTTCAACAGTCAATAATGATGAATTTCATTAATAATATGAGAACACAAATACAGAGGACCATAGGAGTGTGGGTAGGGTTTTTGTTGGTTGGCTCGACATGGTCTCATAATTTAACCCAGGCTGTCCTCAAACTCACAGGCCTCTTGCCTCTGCCTCTTGAGTGATGGGATCACTGTACCTATCACCACCATAGGTGCTTAATAAATGCTTTGTGAAGAAGCAACTTCTTATATACATGATAATATGACTGAAGCCAGAAAACATGGAAATATGTTTTAGAAAGTAATCACTGTATACCATGGTTAACCTCTAGACAAAAATAAGCATTTTGAGTGAAAAGTTGAATTCTATTATATTATGTCTATTAATTATATGTCTCAGCTTTTTATACTAGTGGGGTGCATTTAAATTTAAAGCTTCAAGCTTTCAAGACAACTCTCCGAAATAACTAATTACCTTACTACAATCAGCATAAACTTAAACTATGTGTACAAAACATAGTCATCCATACGCCATTTTTGCATAAGTGGAAACACAACAGAATCTCTCACATTCAAATATAATTGAAAGTCCTTGAAGTTACTCCAGTAGGAAAGCTGCAATGGTTTCTCAAATGATAAATGCTTTCTCAGAAAGCATTTATTTACCTGAGAGAAACGGCATGTGGCCCATATATCTCTCTCACTGCCGACAAATCAGCTTCCAGCTGTGGGTGCTTGTGCAGTTCCCCATCATAGTTCACCTGAGGACGGGGACCATTCAGGAGTGACGTAGATAAACTCAATAGTACATTCACCAAAGTTCTTAGCTTTACACATGGCTAGAATAATTACTTGTGTTAAAAAGTTAAAATTAGATTATTTTGACACAAAGAAAATGCAAATGTTGAAAAGGAGTGAATTAAGTGTCTGACAAATACTCTGTAAAACTTCTGGAATGAATATCTAGACTCAAGAAAAGCATTTGCTTCCTCTCTGCAAAAATTAGTTCTGTGAACAAAAATCAATCTTGGAAGAATTATTTTAAATCAAGGGTTCTATTGGATAAAGATCCATTTCATTGAGAAATCACCTTGCTAGAACTCTATTCTTGGAGATGAAAACTACTTTTACCATGTCCACTCAACTGCTGCTTTGTACATAAACTTTACAACTTGTTTTCTATTCTGAATGAATAGTTACATGCATTTTTTATGTGATAACTTTGGCTTTCATGACCCTCCTTATCATATTATCCTCTTGGTATCATGCCCAAGATATAAATAACCTTGATCAAGAAGGTTACAGAAACAGAACAGCAAAGTGAACAGCCACACTCTAAAATTAAGTGTGCAGCTACTTCACATATGCAGCTTAAATTATGACATTTCTTCAGAACAATTTCTCAACACAAATGAACAAGGAGGATGCTCACTAATTATTATTAGGGCCCACTGAGTTGTATAAAGATAAACCATCTCTCACTGAAACCTAATAATTGAGTGTCCTCAATTTAAAACAGTGCCATCATTTCAAAATATTCAAGCAATATGCTTAAGAAACGTGAATGTCCCAATCATAATAAAATACTATACAATTTCTGTAAAGCAATTTAGACAACTTCAATGTAAATGAATGATTACATAAAAAAAGGATTTGCAAAGGTAATCTTAATTTCTGAAAACTATGTAGAAAATGAAAAACAGATAAAGTATTCAGATTTTTTAGCAACTTACAGAACCATGGACACCTGGGGTTTCTTAACTCTTGGGCATGCACTAAGGCAGACACGGCAATTAGAATGCTGAGAATGGATCCTTGGAAGACAGATTTACTTACCTGTCCTCCATAATAAAATTCCTCAGAATCATTGTCTCCTTCGGAATCTTCTTCCACTGTGCTGTTTTGTCTAGACTCCTTAAAAAATAAAGCAAGACCATTTTAATGGTCAAAACAGTTTTTCCTTCTTTTGAAAATAAAATAGCAATATAAAACATTCTGCCGGGCATCAGTAGTTTATGCCTATAATCCTAGCTACTAAGATTTTGATGACTGGTGTTGGAGGCCTGTCCAGGGAAATAGTTCACAAGACTCATTCTTGGTATGGTACAATTCTACCTTTTGTTTGTGGATGTATTTAGCTCTTTATAAAGCAAATCTTTGACTGATAATATTTGCAATTTAATATTTTATGTACTTCTGAATAATCAATTATAGCATCAGCTTTTATTAAAAAGTTCCTCTGTATTATTTATCCAAGATTATTCTCACTTCCACTGCCAACTTGAAACAACAGCATGAAGCCAAAAAAACTTTGAATGCAATAATAAAAAATCAAGTTATGACAAGAAATACAAATCACATTATAAAGAGAACTTTCAGGATATAAAAATTAGCTGTTTTAGAATTCAGAATACAAAAGGGTATTAAAATTAATATGCCTGTCTGAGTGTTTAATTAACTGAACTCCATTATATGTCTGAAGTTCAAATAATGAAAATTTATGGTGACATTCCTATCACTGGCCTTACTAGCAAAGTCAAAAGCGGGTGGGGAGGGGAGGTGGTATCTTTTGAATGTAAGACTCCATTCATCTGATGTTTCTTAAGGAAATTAAACGACTTTGGGTTTTGGGTTTTATGAAATTCTAATCTATTTTTGGTATCAGTTTTATTCAAGCAGCGATTCTCACTATGGATAAAAAAGGGGAAGAATCATGAACAGCTTTCAAGAAAAGGACAGTTGGTCCCGTTGCATTTCTTTTGTTTGTTTAATGGCATTGTATTTATGGAAAATAGATGAATTTGTGTTTTTAAGCACCCAATATTGGGGGGGAGGAAGCTATAAGTGCTCTTCTATCAACTACATTATTTTATTAAAGAATATGAATAAATTATGTTGTGTTTATGTCTTATTTAGAGCTAAATGTCTTGAGAGCAACTCCTCAGAGTTGATTTTGGGTCATTCTTGAGCTTGAGTGACACCACATGCAACTTTAAATTGAAATGAGATGTTAACTACAAATACATGGTAAATTTAAAACACATCTGTGCTGTTTTCAAAACACAAAAAACATCTCTTACATACCTCTCCATTTTCCTTTTGCAATTTGGACTTTATAGATAAACAACAGTTAATATCATTTGTTTTTCGTAATTCTGAAAGAAAGTTACAAATTAAGAAATATTTCAGTTTTCATCATTTTTCCCCCAAACTTTCATAAGTTTCTGTGATTCCCTCTCTTTTGCAAAAGAATTAAGGGGTATCTGGAAATTGTATCATCTTGGGGAGTTAGACAGTAAGTCAATTTTCCTGGTTTCTTATTGTGTGTAAGAATGTGATCCAACTAAAGATACAGCACACAGACAACTGTCAGTACATACTTTATTGCCCTAAGTGTAATTTTATATTCAGTATTGTCACTACAAAGGGAAATGGTTTATAAGAGCCATATACAAATTATTGAAAAAAAAAACCAGTATGTTTATGATATAAAATTTATATGAAGATCCACATTTACAGAGGGTAAAGATAGGTATTTGCTATATCAGCTAAGAAAAACAAAGAGCAACAGTGAAACTACCTACAATCAAGACAAATTAATTCAGGATAAGAAAAATGTGGCATTGCTGTTACCTGTTGCTATTCTATGAAAAATTACAGGAATTGGCTCTGTAGTTACTAACACATCTTCATCATTTTCTGAACTTGACACATATGTATTATCTGAAAAGAAATATGATTAAAGACACAGTAACTTGAATAACTATCCTTTATAAAAATATTAGTTATAATCAACATTACTTTAGTATCGATTATCATACAAGGATCTGCTGCTGATGTCTCCTGCATCAAAAAATTTTAAAATGAGGAAAAAAAAGAAAAAGAGAATTACAGCAACAGAAGTACAGGATCATGCAGTTCACAGCACCAAGAAATAATGGGGATTTTGCATGCTTAAGAACACAGAAAATTAATTCAGCTTATAGGATCTTCCTATTTAAAAAAGCTTCAATCAAGTAATATATACAACTATTTGCTAATTTACCCACCCCAAAAAAGCAAAATATCACCTTCACCATCAGCAGCTTCACAAAGTAGTAAAGTTAATAGAAGGCACTATAATTTGATTCAAGAGCCCATAATTTGGTACCTACGCATTGTGCAATGCTGAAGGTCAGGACTCTACCTTCAAATATTTTGTAAGAGATTTTCTACCAGTTCATATTTTGACATTAGCACACTTTTAATTTTTGGTTTCAGCTTAAGTGCACCCCAAATCAAAAAGTCTCAGGATTTATGATACCATGTATTTAATTACCATTCTGACATAATAGGCCAAATTAGACCACAGAATGTATCCAAGTTCTGATCAGAAATGTAGCAGAGTAGAGAATACATCACGTCTCGATGCCACTCTAATGGTTTGGGATAAAATTAAGCAAAGACCAGCAAGAGTTCTTTAAATGTTTAGGAGAGTTCATTCACAATGCATTCTGCTTCAGGGCTTTTCTATTATTTGGAAGTTTTTGATTACTCATTTGAGTTTCCATTTCTTCATGATTCTAACTTGGCAGGCTGCATGTTTTAGGAACCTGAGCATTTCTTCTAGGTTAACCAGATTATCAATCCCACTTCTGGGTTTGCTAAATGAGGTCAGTATTTCTAAGGGATGTCAACCCCTCACATGCATTGTAGCACTATTCACCATGGCTATATGTCCAGTAACAGTTGACTGGATAAGCAAATTATGCTAAGAGCACACAATGGAATATTCTATTCAGCCTGAAGGACATAAGCAGAAACAGAAACACAGAAATGAAATCTAACAAAGTTACACTAAAAGAAGCATGGTGTAAAACAGAAGGTCACAAGGGTAGCGGGGTGGGTGGAAACAGAGCTGTCAGTCAAAGGGTGCAATCCTTCAGTCCCAGGGGTCTCTAACATTCAGCAGGGGTGATGGTGGATGTGTGAAACAATCTGATATCAATACAAAACGTCCCTGCATGTAAACATTTATATCAAATCACCACCATCGTCTACCTTGAAAATCTACATACAGACACAAACTAGTCAAGGATCCCCTTTACCTTAAGCCACAGTCTCAGCTATGAAATGAGGAGACTGGCTAATGATCTTTGAGCATTTTCTCTACTTTTTGGTTATTTAAATCTAACTCTTTCTCAAATTGCCTTTGTCATCTGTGAAAACACCATCGTTTTTTAAAGATGTGCAAGAAAGATATAAATAGGCCTAAGTCTATGTTTCATAGAAGACCTATAGACTTTTGGTAAAGCTGTTATCAACATGAGTATTTTCTCTTCTCTTCCCTAAAGGTCACTGCAAACACTGCAACCAGAAATTCGTATGGAACAGTGGGGAGAAAGAAAAGCATCTCTTCAACTACTGGTTTTATTCAATTTCAAAAGCAGGATAATTGAAATTAGGTCATTCCACTCTCAATTACTATGTAACTTAAAAGAAATGATCACTACAATTATAAATAATAGTACATTGATTTTGTAATCTATTCTAGATGTTTTCTCTGAATTTTCTGTGTAATTTCATGTAACTTCCCAAGCCAATTATTATCCTTTTTAAAGATAAATCAGAGAAATAAATTAAACAATTAATTGCACAAGTAATAAGCAGTAAAGCTTAAATCTTTTTTAATCTAATTTTGTCACTATGTTGCTTATTTTAAATATAGAAAATAGTATCACTCAAAAAAAATGCCTATTTAGTATAAAAACAATTACAACTCATAGGTTCTTTTTTGATACAAACTGTAGGATTTTACTTCTCACTTATTATTCACACAGCTACACACAATGCTCACATTTGTCACCTGTCAGTCAAGACACTGTGTACAGGCAACAGAGAACCCAGAAACCACCACTTCTTTCTTCTAGATTCCAGTAAGACATATAGTAGATTTGAGGGAATTCACTCCCAATGCTTGGTGTGCCTCCTAATTAAATGTGAGAACAGAATAGGTGAGAATTAAAGACTTCTGCTGTTTTGTTGTAGCAGAGCCAACCTGTGACTTGTAATATATATGCTATTCTCAAATCCATTACAACAACAAAAAATCATCTTCACTGTAAAATTCACAGAGTATAAACAAGCCAGAAGGCTACTCGTTTCTTCACTTGATTTTAAAGAATCAACCTATCATTTAATATTATACTTACATCTGTCATTATGAATACCTAACTCAATAAAGACTCTAAACTATGAAATGACATCTGTTCCTAGGAACAAAATCCTGACTGTGGAGGATAAAACTGATACATTCCAAGAGGGCAAAGAAAGTCTCCTGCTTCCAACCCTAGACAATGAGCTAATCATTGAGCTATACAATCCAGAAAGATAGAAAAAAATAACCCTAAGGATCACTACCAGAAGGAATGAATGTTAATTGCAAGATTACTGCATTTAGAATTAAAATGCAATGGTAAAGAAAGCAACATGTTTGACAGAATTTTTTAAATACACACACAAACTTTTAAAAAAATATTTCGGTGGTACTGGGGTTTGAACTCAGGGTCTCATGCTTGCTAAGCAGGTGCTCTATCATTTGAACCCTTCTACAACAAAAGTAAACAAAAGAAATGAGGTTGGAGAAATAATCATATGCACAAAAGATTATTTTGACAATTATAAACCAAACACTGTATTTTTTGCTAAAAAAAAGGGACATTTCAACAACACAGTGACTTTTAAGAACACATGTTTAAAAATGACAAAGAAATTAAAAACAGACTAGATCAATAATCATGGCAGAAAAATACAGCTGCCCCAGAACCATCCTTAGGAAAAGATATCTAACTCTGACGGATTTCCTTGCTAGTTCTATCAGGTTCTCAAAGAGCAGTTTAGTTCTATTATACCAAAGTATATGATAAAATGCAAATAATGGAAATTGTCACCTTAGTATCTAAGGAGAAAGTAGACATCAAACAGATGCCAAATAACAATTTGACGAAGATTTAATACTCATAAATTTTTAAAAAGTAATAAATGAGAAAAGGAATTTTTTTAAAGCAATTGCAAGCATGCTTATTTTGAGAAGAAAGAAAGCTGCCAGCTTTCATATCTATTGTGGTGCCAGGGGGAATACACAGGTATGAACATTGGAGGAGCAATAACACGATTTCTATAAAATACTGACTATCTGAAAAGTCAAACATATTAAATAACAACTCTTAGTACAAGTAAACGAGGATTAAAATTTAATAATGGAAAAATATTATCATAGTAACTAACACTTTAGAGAAAAGTTTTTTTTTCAAGTTTGTACATTTTAAAGAAATTTGAGCTCACTAGAGAACCTTCTGGTCATCTATATCAGTCTCTACTTACATAGCCTTCTGTCTTAATTCACATTTTAAAAAAAGTAAATATATACATATTTCTAAACCTCTTCATCAAGATTTGATGGTATATAATAAAAATTATTTTTAAAATCTTCCCCCCAAAAAAAGAAAGAAAGAAAACTCCATAAAAACACTAATGCTACTTCTTCCCCAGAAATAAGAACTTGGGAAATATTACTCGTCTGAATGTCATGATTTCCCCTTTTTGCCCACCGCACGGACTACATGGATCCACCAATTCAAAGTGCTGCCCCAGTATTTAAGCCAAAATTCTCTAATTTTATACTCCTTTCTGTTTGGAAATGAAAAGTGAATTCAGTAAAAATAGCACAAATGATAACCAATGCTTTATTTAAAATTCCAGTTATTAAAGGGCTGGCGATAGAGGCCTGTGCTCCCTAGCACTGCAATAATAAATAAGTACTCACTGGTTTTCAATTTTTACACAGAATCAACTTATATATCTCAGTGGGGCTCCCATCAAGTGAGGAAAGGCCAATAATGCCTCTTGGCCACCAGAGGGAGCTAAGAACTTGGTCGGTTTCATTTACCAAGAGCATCTTCCACCACATGTTCCCTGACATATTCACGTGGCCTCCTTAAGCTGGGCTTTCATTTGTGGTACCATTTCTACTGAGCTGACTTTCTGGAGTCCTAGACCTCTCATGGCTGACATCTACACGATGCCTAACTGAGAAGTACAATAATTATACTTTCAGTAAGTAGCTGACTTTTATTTTCCAAGCATAATTGACAAAAGATTCAGCATCATAAACATACAATCCCACAATAAAAAAAGGCTGAATGCTTATCACGGTTCTTCCACTAAAACTTAGTTAATACTTTTAATATCACATTCTTAATAATGAAAACGCCCACTGTTCGAATATTATACTTAAAACATGTAGAAAGTTTACGATTTAAGAAATTATTTTAAAATGTGGCAGGTGGAGTAGGAGGAATCACAGCTCCAGGCCAACTAGACCAACAGTGGGAGATTTTATCTGAAAAACAAACTAAAAAATGAAAAAGGACTAGGGGCTTCAAGTGGTGAAGAACTGGCCTAGCAGACATAAGTCCTTGAGTTCAATCCTCAGTACCACAAGGGGTGGGGGCAAGGGAGGGAGAGATATCATTTTAAAAATGTAACATTTAAGCTGTGCATGGGGAAATGTCTATAATCCCAGCTCTGGGAGGCACAGTCTAGGCTGCATAAAGTGACCCTGTATCAAAAAAGAAAAAATACTTTTAAATAAATTTAAATTTTAAAAGACAAAATGTAACATTTTAAACTTGTAAAAGGATTAAATGCCTAAAATAAAAAAATACTCAACTTGAGTGCTAAAAGAACTGAGGTTTGTAATATTCCAATACCCAACTACGAACTGTTTTTAAAATAAAATCAAGTATATACACATATACATACATACATTTATATAAATGTACACAGAAACTACTGAACCAAATGACCGTTAGCTATATTTTTACATTATGAAAAGCAGAATACTGTTCCAAAACTGACAACTAGACCAGTTCAGGGAATCTGCATTTAATTGTTGTCATGTAAAGATACAAGCTGAAATTGTAAGACGAGTTCATGTGAATGACTCTTCATTAAGAAGCCATTCTAATTCTGTGAGACATGGGTTATGCCTCACAAGCAGTCAACAGTTCTGTATCTTTCAGATCTGTCAGACAGAATCTCCAGAGTATCTATCTGTCACAAGCTTTACATCTCCAGAAGAAAAAAGTTTTCAAAGAAGTCATGGAATAAATATTCATAATAAAGATTTAAAAGAAGGAAAACATACCTGGGTAATCTTCAGATACATGTACTGAGTAGGATACACTGTTAAAATGGAAAAGAAAGAAAGAAAGAAAAAAAGGCTCTAGTTACTGTGAAGGTAGACATATTTTCACAAAAAGAAAACCAACCCCATAGCACCCACTCACTTATACAAATATAAGAATAGACAATATTCAAAACAGATTAGAAAACCTTTTCATATCTGACATAGGAAACATAGGGGTTTCTGAGAGATACTTTTGATGAGTTCAAATGGGTCTTTTCAGAACCATTTTGAGAGGCCTTCCCCCAAGTGACCAGGTTTTCAGTATGGATGGATCTTCTAGCATTCAAGAATATAGCTATGTGTGAGTGTATAATGTCTCTCACATGCTAGATAAAACTGAATTAACAAACTTTGATGAAAACACAATAGTTACTCTTCCTCATCCAATCTTCCATCACCATTATATATATCAAGTAAACTACCTTCTATTTTGAGGATTGAATTAGTTCAGAATTTTTTTAAATTGAATTTTAACCATTCCTTTCTCAGATTTCCCACTGCTTCTGTGAATTTATCTCATATAACATATGGGAGTGTGGCACAAATATTTATTCATAAGGCTGCATGTGCCTTGATGTGAGGGGTCTGTATCTATATTTGTAGCACAGTCACCAATTTAGCACATTCACAGCACATAATCAACATCAGTTATTTGAACAGGTCAGTGGAATAGCAACTGGCCACAGAAAGTTAAAATTTAGTTTAGTTCAGCTTAATTACCTAACTGTTAAAAAACCAAAAATCACCTTCTCTTCAAAGGAACAGGCAATGCAGATTTATTCACAAATTGAATCCATATTAGATAATCCAAAATTACTAAATACATGCACCCTGAGGGAGATATAATCTATGCCCAAAGGAAAAGACAAGCCAAGTGTTGCAATTAGCCCACAATGACGTTGAAACACTTTGGTAGTATACTTAGGGAATTGAAGGAAAATCCAACCTGAGGAAGAGAAACAAAAATAGAACATCAAGGACTGGTTCACTCACAAAAGAGCAAACACTTGTATAATTTGAGCAGACCAAGGAAAGATCAAGAGAAAGACAATAATGTGGGAAAAAAATTGAGGAGATTTTTTTCCTCAATTCAGACACGACTGAAGCAGTTCAGAAACACCAAACTAAGCTTAAAATAATTTACTCCCCAGTATGCATAGTCAGATAAAAAATCAAATTAAAATCAAATAAAAAAATTTAAAAGAAGTCAGAGGGAGAAAAGTGACACATTACATACAAGGAAGTAATGATTGGTGGTAGAACAAGTATCAACCCAGAACTCTATGGCCAGCCCATATATCCATCAAAAATTAAGGCAAATAATTCTTCAGATAGGGAAAAATTTTTTAAATTTACCCACAGACAACCAACCAGATCCTAAAAAAAGTTCTTCTGGTTGAATGACATTAGGTGGAAATTTAAATATTCGAAAGGAATGAAGTACACAAGAAATTATATGTATAAAACACTATTTTTCTATTATCACTTTAAAAAATAGATATGACTGTACCACCTCCATCATGGAATTAGACTGTATGTAAATATAGTATAGCATAATAGCAGGAACAGGTGAAATGCGAATTGGTGTAATATGAACTCAAATAATAAATGAAGTTAAGGCTATGTAATGCATACCTAGCACAAGCGTATGTGTGCACATGTGATCCCACATTCTTACATACAACTGGCTAGAAAAGGTGAATAGAGCCAGGCGTGGTGGTGGTACAGCCTATAATCCCAGAACTCATCATAAGGCAGAAGAAGTACAAGTTTGAGGCATACATAGTGAGACCATGTCTCACTTTTCACTTTTTTTTTTTAAGGTTAATTGAACACAGCATATCCTGACGCAGCCTTCCAAGTGCTTGGATTATAGGCATGAGTTACCATGCATGGTGATCAATAAATACAATGGAGTTCTAAAACTAATTTTGGAGCTATATATAACCCTGAGAGAGAGAGAGAGAGAGAGAGAGAGAGAGAGAGAGAGAGAGAGAGAGAGAGAGAAAGCAAATAGTAAAAAAGAGAATAATGGGGGTGGGGGGGTGAATTCAACTACCCTCAGTACAACAATCAATAGAAGAAAGCAAACAGCAATGAATATTGAATCTAACCATAATCATAAAGGCACTGAATGTTATGAAACAGATACACTGAACAAGCATACCAATATAAACATGCATGCAACTTATCAGAGTCAGAAGATCAAAAGCTGATTTTCATAGACATCAGTAACCAAGATAAATTGTATGCTGAGCTCTGAGTCTCAGTAAATTTGTATGGGTAGATGGACATTACTTACCATAGTAGATAGCCTGGGTTTCCTGGCTCAATCTAGATTAAAGTCTTAAGTCCTTAAAAAGTCAGGGCCTTTTAGCATTTGTGACGGGACTTTAGAACTCTGCAACTGTGGCTAGCTGCAAGGTCCCTCCCAGGGAAGCCAAGTCCCCAAGTTCCTACCAGTGAAATCTCCAGCACATTTCCTCATAGCTGAGAAGTGTTTAGGCAGAGACAAAAAGGATGATTTCTACTCAAAGCAAGTACTGATACACTGTTTAGCGGTTCAATTTACTCAAGAAACATTTTTTGGTAACATGGAATAACCCCAAAATTCTGTTACTGTCAAATAATGTTAAACAGAAAAAATTTGGAGGCTACTTAAAAAGCTAAACATTGATCTACCATTTGATCCAGCAATACCACTCTTGAGGATATACCCAAAAGACTGTGACACAGGTTACTCCAGAGGCACCTGCACACCCATGTTTATTGTTGCACTATTCACAATAGCCAAGTTATGGAAACAGCCAAGATGCCCCACCACTGACGAATGGATTAAGAAAATGTGGTATCTATATACAATGGAATTTTATGCAGCCATGAAGAAGAACGAAATGTTATCACTCGCTGGTAAATGGATGGAATTGGAGAACATCATTCTGAGTGAGGTTAGCCTGGCCCAAAAGATCAAAAATTGTATGTTCTCCCTCATATGCGGACATTAGATCAAGGGCAAACACAACAAGGGGATTGGACTCTGAGCACACGATAAAAAAAGAGAGCACACAAGGGAGGGGTGAGGATAGGTAAGACACCCAAAAAACTAGATAGCATTTGTTGCCCTCAATGCAGAGAAACTAAAGCAGATACCTTAAAAGCAACTGAGGCCAATAGGAAAAGGGTTACCTAGAAGGTAACACCCACGCACAGGAAATCAATGCGAGTCAACTCCCTGTATAGCTATCCTTATCTCAACCAGCAAAAACCCTTGGTCCTTCCTATTATGGCTTATACTCTCTCTACAACAAAATTAGAGATAAGGGCGAAATAGTTTCTGCCGGGTATTGAGGGGGTGAGGGGGAGAGGGAGGGGGCGGAGTGGGTGGTAAGGGAGGGGGTGGGGGCAGGGAGGAGAAATGACCCAAGCCTTGTATGCACATATGAATAATAAAACAATAATAAATAAATAAATAAATTGCCCCAAATAAAAAAAAATCAACTCAGATAACGTTGTATGATTATTTCAGAGGGAAAAAGAATAGGAGACATATTACAAAGGAAGCTGCCATTTTAAAGTACTTTTTTTTTTACTTTTTGAATTGCACATAATATCTTTTTTCCAGTTTCCCCCATTACTTGCATATTAACAAAACCAGGAAACTGACATTAGTGTAAAGTTAGTGTGTGGTTCTATGTCACTGTCACACAGGCATCCCATAAATCAAGGCACAGAACCATTCACAGATCTTCCTCATTCTACCCTTTCCAAGGCACACTTGTCCCCTTCCCCCAATGTGCCTAATCCCAGGCAGACATTAACTTCTGTCTCTATAATTTTGTTATTTCAAGAATGTTACATAAATGGAACCATAGAGGATGATGCACAATACCATTTTAAGGTAGAATTAGTATTTTCAAAAAGTTACTCTATATGCAATATTTAGGATAGAGAGAAGAAAGGAGAGCTCAGATTAAGAACCTCTCATAGTATTAGAATGTGAGCAAGTATCGGTGGGGAAGTATGTAACAGGAACAAGAAGGCAGGAACAAGTGACAGCTGTTGGATCCCAGCCAGTGTCTCGGCTTTGGAAATCATGGCCCTGAATAAAATGCCAAGAATAAGAAGATAAAATATCCATGTCACTGGTACCTCAAGCAAGCTAGGGGAACTACAGACTATGGCCCAAAATACTGTACTGTGGGGCAATGACATTACTGATGATCAGGGCCCCCTTCGGAGCTGGCAGTGCTACGTGACAGAAACCAGCTCCTTGCCAGAGGTTATACTCAGTTCTAGACTGAATTAATTCCCAGCAACCAACATCAGTTGACTTTGTTTTTCAATCAAATCAATCTCTAAATACAAAATGAAGCCTCATGTCCTTCTTCTGTCTCCCTCCAATTGGGGAGCCTCTGTAGTTTGAGTCAGACTAAGAGGAATCAAGTTCTAGCTTTGACACTTCCTAGCTGGGAATCATAATAGCAAAAACCATTTAAACACGCTCAACTTCAACCTCTTTTCAGTAAAACAGAAGAATCCACATCTATGCCTTATGAGCCTGCTGTGGTGGTTTAATGGTCTAACAGGTATAAGGCCCCCAGGACCATGCCAGACACCAAGCAGCAGGTGCTCAGTAATTTTAGTCAGCCCCAGTGAAAGCAATTAAAAATTTACAGAAGTGAAATTTTACATGAATGAACATTCTCTGGGGAACTGTCTGCTTTAAAAAAAAAAAGCACACACTATATTATTACATTTATTAGAGACCAACGCTAACACTGATTATTTTATTTTATGGTTGTAATGTCCTCCTGATATTAGGCATTCGTTCCCATGTTCACGACCATTCCTAATTTTTCAAACGTGAAACAGAAAACAAAAGCCCTGCAAAATGATTCATCATCTCCTTGTGCTACAGCTTTTTCTTGGTGGAACACCAGAAGGAAAATCACCAGGACTGTAAAATCCTAATCAGTTTCACTCTGTGGCTTACAGAGCTCTAAGGGAAACAATCTAGTACAAGCAGACATGGATGATTAAGCCAGAGGATCTTAAAAGGAGAGCCAAAAACTGTGCAAATAGCAAAGCTTAGGTCATTTTAAGAGTAAGGTTAGAATATACTATACATAATCAATAATATAAATCAGGCTATGATATTTGGAGAAGTGAAAGTGAAAGAGGATGCCAGGAGAAGAAAGAGATGAAACAAGCTCTGAATTCCTATTCAGGATTTAGAAAAGAAGCCTTTAGATTTCTGAACTATTATTCTATTTTAGATCATATTAAGGTGTTTCATCAGAGACACTCAGGTCAGTCAAGAGGTTTGCTATGTACTGTTTATACAAGTAAATCTGTAAATTATTTCTTTTACTTCTGCAATTTTCAAACAAAATGGTGACTTTCATCTCTAATTCCTCTGAAATCATCTGACCCAAGTAGAGATCCCTCTCCACAGCTAACAGATCTAGAAGTCGATCGTGGTGAAGCCCTCTCTTATTCTTATAACTGAAAAACATTCAAAGGGTCATTTCTGTATTTAAACTCACCATTCACTTCCTAACCATCTTTTTTTCCATCTGAAATGTCCACCTACAGCTAAGAATAGATGGAGTTTAATCCGGGTTCCCAAGTTCTCAGATCTAAGAATAGTAGGAAGTAGAAGGCAGTAGTATTACTACACTGAGACTTGAGAATGACTTTTATACTAAGAAGTTACGACAGGTGTACTGAATTCAGTGAACCCCAAATGCTGTGAGTTTCTGCTATCTGTAACACAAAACTCCTAGGTCCTAACCACTCTGTTAACTACACCCATACATGTACATACACCCTCATTCTTCACCACTATTAGCTACAATCTTCACTCTTTTCCTCTTCATTACAATCCTCACATCACCACATCTGTATGGACAATGGTAAACTGCATATAGTTTCACACCTCATTTCCCTTACCTCATCTCACCAAATTCATGACTAGATCGTGGATCTTGACTTTGGAGTAGAATTGCTCTCCTAAAAGCTCTACCCCATGTTCCACTTTCTAACCACATTTTTTCTCACTCTCCAGCTCTCACCCCCTATTTCTGCTCTCTGACATCCTGAAACCACAAGGCGTCAGTTCGTTGTCAAGTGACTGCAGATGCCTAACTGCTCTCCCAAGCGCGCCTTCACCTCCTTCATTGTACAGCCACTATGTAGGACAGCTGCCTGATCCTGACTGACTCACGTTTAGCTTTCTCCACTCCTAAACCTAGGCTCTGCCTCAAACCTCCCGATTTCTGACTCTCAAGTAGCTGGCATTACAGGTGTGGACCACCACGTTCACCCTTCACATTCATTTATAATTCAGCAAATTAAATTAACAACAAATTAGAGGCAAACACAAGGAGTCCCTGCTGTTAGGATCTATAGAGCTTTACCAAAACAGGCACAAGTTTCCTGTCCACAAATCGAGGTAGGGATTTTCTGATTGTATGTGTCCAGTGGGACCTAAAAATGAGCACTTGTAAAAAGCTTTCCAGGTGACTGATGAATGAATTCTACTGAGCAAATTCTAACTCCTCAGCACATAAGCCAAGGCTCTCAAGACCTGACCCACAATGAATTCCACATCCCATATCCCTACAAATTCTGACAGACCTTAACTTCAGTCATTCCAATTTGTGTCATTCCTGAAACGTGTGACTTTTTTCCTACCTCAGTTTCCTATCAGGAATTCCTATCTCCAGAGTGGCGGGGGGGTTAGTACAAATATTCAACAAATAGCCGCTTTATTGTCAATATTATCACTCCTGTACAGTCATGTCCCAGAACACACCCTCCTCCCCCTTCAAAACTCAGTCTCCTGTCAAACTCCAACAACCATGGCAGACCAGGGAGGGAGGGGGCTCCTTCCCTGTGCCCACTCCAGTCCTGAACAAGGGAGGGACAGAAAAATGTCTCCATCCTCACATTCTCACGGATCAAGCAAAAAACGTAACAGTCATTTCTGAAGAAAAATGAACAAACCTTATCTCTTTTCCAAAATTACTGAAGGACAGAAGATCTCAGGTGTTTGGCATCCTGAACAAAGAACTGGATGGGAACAAACAGATTGCAAAGCAGCAGCCAAGTTTTACTGAAAGTGAAAGCAGAAAGTACACTCAATGAGAGGGAGATGGAGTGAGCTCTGAGCAAGGTGATCCAAGAGCAGTACCTGGAGCTCAAGTGCCTATACTTTGGCTGTGGATTTCTGGAAAGAATAAAGCACAAAAAAAATCGAATAACTCTCCCCACATGTCCCCTCTGCCTGAGTGGCAAAGCAGTCAGGGTGCTTCTTGGAGCAAGGAAAAGTTAAAGACACCTTTGCTAAGTTAGCTCTCCCAGGATCCCCACAACCTCCTACTCACACCCAACCTGATCTTGAACCACAGAAGGTAGATTTTTACATTCTTCTTCACCCCAGAATTTCTTTGCACAGCAACTGTAGCACCATTTCAGTAAGGTCGGTCACTGGAAAATAATGAGGAAATGTTGCTTATCATTAGGTTTCAAGTATTGTTAGAAAGCCTCACCATTCCTGCCCCTCAGCACCCCATCTTTAGACAATTCAAGCACACAAAGTCCCCAAGGGCTAGGTCAGGTACACGTCCATGAAAGTAGCTGCCATAGTTCTCCCAGTTTATCTCAGGTACTCAGCCCGGGGTGGCCAGGGAAATCCTCATGGGGCATGCAAGCTCCATGCTGCACATTTTCTCTGACAACTCTGCCAGGGCTGACATCTGGGCTTGAAGTCTCTCCCCAAATGCCTCCCTGCATGTGGGCTGTCTGCTGAGGCTTCTGCTGAGGGTTGATGGAAGCCAAACCCTGTTGGGGTCTGAGCAGTGAGGTCCTCTTCCTCCTCCAGAGGCCTGGGTCAGAGCAAGATGCTTGAGGTCTGTAGGGTGACTGGTCTGGTCCACTCTAGATGCCCTTACCCCCTCCAGAGGAGGTCGCAGTGTTCGTGTCTGCAACCTGGGCACTGGCTCCCTGTATCCTCCCAAAGGCCTCTTGAGGTTTCCAGAGAGGACTGGCTGCTCCAGAAGTCCGTGTGGGTCACAGGCACCAGAGTTGCCCTGTTTGGGTCCAATGTCTCTGGGCTATGGCGTCCTAGAGCCATCCTTGCCTGTGGGGTCAGGCAGGGTGCTCAGTCTGTGGCGAGCTCTGCCTTGCAGAAATGGTCTGCTGAATGCACTGCAAGGCTCCTGGAGGCACCTGGGCTCGGAACAGCACAGATGCAGGCTGTACCAGTAGCACAATTCTATGTGTGTGTTGTATGTGTTTGGTGTGGGTGTCAGGTGTGTGTGTTGTGTGTGTTTGGTGTGTCTAGTGTGTTCGGCCAGTGTGTATATGTGTTTTGTGTGTAGGTTTGTGGTGATATTAGGTGTGTGTCTGTGTGTGTTGTATGTATGTGTGTCTTTGTTTATGTGTATTGTTGTTTATGTATGTGTTTTGTGTGTGTGTTTTGTATACGTGTTAGTGTGGTATGTGTTGTGGGTGTAGGAGGTGTGTGTGCATGTGCATCTGTGTGTGTCGTGTATGTGTGTTGTATGCTGTGTTTCGATGCGTGAATGTGTGTGTTGTGTATCTTGTGTATGTATGTGTGTGTGTGCTATGTGTGTGTATATGTGTTGTGTATCTTTGTTCTGTGCATGTGCGTGTCATGTATGTGTCTCTGTGTATGCCTAGTTGTGTGCGTATGTGTACTGTGTGTGATGTGTATGTTTGTGTTGTATGTGTCTGTATTGGTGTGTTCTCTGTGTGTGTGTCGTGTGTATCATCCCTGGTAGGCCGACGGGAAGCAGGATCAGCTGCAGCATCACCGGATCTGGGCCACCGCGGGTCCATCTGTGCTCAGCACTCCAGGGTCACCCACCCACTGTTCCAGCAGGTGGAAGCTGTGCTCCTCTACTCCCTCCTCCAGCATTCTATCCATCTAGCCTCCCTCTCCTCCCCCCTGCCCCACACCCGGGGCTCTGCTGCCCGCGTGCCCCCGCTCCCCCAGCCAGCCCCCGCACACCCGCCCCGCCCGTGCGCCCCCCGCTCCCCCAGCCCAGCCCGCCCCCGGGGATGGGGGGGGCTCCGCGCTCCGCCATCCCGCGAGTCACCTCAGGAGGCGGCTGCGCTCCGCACCCCCACCTCACCGGCCCTCTCCCCGGCCGAGGCGCCCGCCATCCGCGCCCCCGATGGCGCCTCCGATGCCCGGGATGAACAGCGGGGCCGGGTCCCGCTGTCTGCCTCGCCGCCCCTCCTTGCCATCGCGCTCTGGCTCTTACCTCCCGGCTGTTTTTGGCAGCCACTTCCCCTTAGCGCGCCACATCCTCCTCCTCCAGAAATTACCAGGAACGGAACGAGAAGAGAGTAAAAAGAACAAAAGAACATGCAATGAACCGAAGGTACATGTGGAGCATGAAGCATACAAACATAAGGACAGAGTTGGCCCTCGCTGTCTGTGGGTGAAAAGTTCCAATGACACCATGAGAAAGCACCATGAACACTCACACCACTGACATTAAGGCAGGACTGACACAGCTTCTTCACATCATGTGAGCTGCATAAGGCACACATGGGAGGGTTTTTTTTAATACTCTTATTAAAAACCACTTGGAATAAATCTTCAAATAAGTCAGCCTAACTGTAATGGTACTCATACAAGAATAAAAAACACAGGAAAGGGTGGAAAAGGAAGAATGAGTATTTGGAGAAATGATAAGCTAAATGTTTCTCAAGTTGATAAAGAAACATAGGTTCATATATTCATGAAGCTCAGTAAACTTCAATATGGAGAAACAGATATATTCTGAGACACATTTTAATCATATTATCATAAACTAAGGACAAATAAATGATCTTAGAAGTAGAAAGACAAAAGCTACTTAACATAAAAAAGGAATCCATCATAACTTTAACAGATTTCACATCAATAATTATGGAAGTGAGAAGGAAATGAAACAGCATTTTAAAAATACTGAAATAATGCTGTTAGCCAAAACCATTATATCCAGCAAAATTACCCTTGGCCCTGCCCTTCAAAACAATGTTAAATGGAGTTCTCCAGAATGAAGTCAGAGGACACTAGACAATCAATTGAAACCATGTGATAAAACAAAGAACTGCATTAAAGATAACTACGTAGGCAAATATAAAGTGTGGTATTATTTTATATTTATTTTATAACTCTATTTTCTATTTGATTTAAAAGACAAACATATAAATAAGTAATTATAAATTTATGTGAAAAGTCATACAACGAACCCAGAGGTTCTGTGTGCCAAAAACATCATAAGAGGGTAGCTGTCATTTTAATATGTTAATTACAATGTCTGATTTATACACAAAATACAAAAAGGAAATAAAAAAGAATCAACAAAAGTATACATGCAAAAAAGAAACATCAAAGAAGGCAACACTAGGTGAACTCAAGGAATTAAAGAAGGTAAAAGAAATATAAAAATGTAAAAATGAAAAAAAATCTTAGTCGTAAGCAACTTTAAATGTGAATGGATTAGGCTCTAATTAATAAAATGGCTAAAAATGGTAATACATTTGAATGGAAATAATGCATTATTTAACATCCAAAGGCACAAATATATAGAGGATGAATGAAGGTAAAAATATATTCCATGCAAATAATGACTAAAGGAGAGCAGAGTTGGCTATACTAATGTAAAACAAAATAAACTTTAAGTAAAAAAAAGTTACAAAAGGCAAAAAAGTACAATAAATGAGATATAACAACAGTCATCATGGAAGCAACAAACACTAAAGCCACAATTATATGCTAAAGTTTGAATAATGGTGTCCCCTCTAAATTCTTATTGAAAATAAATCCTCAGTGCAAACAGTGTTAAGAAGTGTGGCCTCTGATAAGGAGTAAAGTCATGAGTGCTCTGCCCCTCATGATCGGGAGTTGCTTTCTTAGCAAGGCTTTTGAGGCTAAAGCAGGATTTTCTTGTTCTTCTAAAACTTCCACCATTGAAGGACACACTATTCCTCACCCTCAGAAGTTGTAGTAACAAGGTCCCATCTTAGAAGCAGAAAGCAGCCCTAACCAGTCTCTCACTCTGCTGATACTGTAATTTTGGACTCCAGACCCTCTGATAAATAAGTTGCTATTATTTATAAATTACCCAGTCCATGGTAATTTGTGAGAGCAACACAAATGAACAAAAGAAGTATATGTGTCTAATATGGACAAAATTGAAGGGAGAAATGGCCAAGTATATATTAGAAACTGTAATATTCTACTTCCAAGAATGAATAGAAGGTCAATAATACTGTATGATCATGTAAACAAGTAGTTAAAACACTGATCAATTCAGAACAGTTCACCATATAATAGAAGAATGCACACGTTTTTCATGTATAAGCTAAAATTCTCCAGAATACACCAATAATTAGTTCCCCCAAATAGTCTCAGTAATCCTTTTTTCTTAGTATATGACCTGGACCTAGGACTCACAATGTAGCCCAGGACTGGCTGAAACTTTTGATTTTCCTCAGTCTCTGCCTCCTGAGTGCTACTCTCAGTTAATTTTAAAATATTGAAATAGTACATAGTATTTTTTTAATGGTATGAAAAACAGATACAAATAAATAATACAATGAAAGAAAAAAACTTGGCTAAATGTGGAATTTAAATTACATGCTTTCAATAAATTAATGGGTGAGAAAAGTAACAAAGGGAAAAAGAAAAAATAGTTTTGGAACAAATAAAATAAAAAATACCAAAGTTTATAGAATTTACTACAAGTATTAATCAAAAGGAAATTTATGGATGGAAAAACCTCCAATTTAATGGGAAAAGATGTCAATTCAAAACCTTAAATTTATATCTTAAGAAAACAAAAAAATTGAAAACAAACGAGATGACAGCTAAAAGAAAGAAGGAAATAATAAAGATTAAAGTAGCAATAAATCAATGGCGGGATACACATTCAATAGAGTATATTGGTTGCTTAGAATGATCAACAAAATTAACAAATCTCAACTACCTAAGAAGAAAAAGTGGTTGGACACAGATTAGAAACAAAATTGGGGAAATGAATACAACCTTACAGAACCAAGGATTATGAGGGAAACTATGAAAACTGCATGCCAATGGCTGGATAGCCAATATGAAATGGACAAATTTCTAGAATCTCACGAACTTAAACAATTTTAGGATAACAAAATATAGACAGGCACAGGTGGCTCATGCTTGTACTTGTAATTACTAGGAAGACTGAGATCAGGAGAACTATGATTCAATGCAAACTTGGGCAAATAACCAGAGCAAAATAGACTGGAAGTCTGTCTCAAGTGGCAGACTACCTGCTTTAGAAGCATGAAGCCCTGAGTTGAAGCCCTGAGTTCAAGCCCCAGTCTCACCAAAATAAAAAAAAAAGATAGTCTGTACAGACCTATAACAAGTACATAGCAACAAAAATTCATCAGTAATCAAAAACCTCCCAACAAAGAAAACTTTAGGACTAGGTGACTTTGCTTCTGAGTTAAACATTTTAAAAAGTATTAACACCAATCTTTCACAAATTCTTCCAAAAACTCTACAATATAAAATTGCTTATTAGTTCATTTTATGAGGTGAGAGTTTATTCTGATACCAAAGCAAAAAGCAGCACAAAAAATTAACCAATATTCCTTATTAATACAGATATAAAAATACTAACTGAATTTTAGCAAATCAAATTGTTCAATATATTAAAAGTACTTACAGCATGAACAAGTGGGATTTATCCCAGGAATGTGAGGTGGTTTAACTAAAGAAAATCAATATATTGTAACACACTAATAGAAAAGGAAGGGAAAAAATGGATTATCACCCAAGCTGATATACCACATTTGAAAACATTGATAAATGCATTTGAAAAAATTCAACACCTTTGCTTTATAAAAAGAGTTTAAAATGAGGAATGGAAGAAAACTTCCCCAACATGATTACTCACAGCTAAGAATACTCTACAGTAAAATACTGAAACTTTTCCCGTGATCAGAACAAAACAAGGATGCTCACTATCACCAAGACTACACAATGTTGTACTTAAAGTTCTAACCAGAGTAATTGGTAAGAAAACTTAAAAAGTCAGTCAACTTAGAAATGAAGAAAATAAACCCTTCTGT